ATAAAATCATTAAACTGTATTACAATATTTAAAAAAGAACTTCATATTTTGTATGTGTGCGCGCGCATGTGCGATATATAATATATTATACATCACATTTACAATATAATATATAATAAATTATATATTATATATAATTCTAACAATAATTCTAACAATATAACAATTTAATGCTATGTGTAACTTTTTTTCTCATGAATAATGTTTTTAAATATAAGTATATTGTCTACATTTTTTTGATAGGCCTTCAACAATTAACAACATAATTATAATGTTTTTATAAAATTTTTTATTTTTATAACAAAGTAAAATTAATAAATGTTTGTTATAATCTTAAATATATACAAAAATGGAAGTTCATTTACACTAAATCATAAATAAATTGTAATAAAAGAAAAAAAGATAAGAAAAGCAAAATAATATACTTTTGACATAATTTTAATTTAATTTCCTAATATTTTATAAAATATTAAATTAAATACATTAAAAAATGAAAATTATATATATTTAAAAAATAAATGTTAAGTGATTAAAAATTATTTAATTTGTTAAAAATGTTTTATATGATTAAAATTTTTATATTCAAATTTTTTCACTGTACATTATTATATATAATAAATGATATAATAAATTGCTTTTGTTAAAAATTACATTCTCTTCTTTTTTATTCACATATTACATCAAAATTAATTTTAATGTTTGTAATTATAACTTGTATCAGATAATTAAAACTTTCATACTAGATGTACATATTATTTTATGTTTGTAGCGGCAGTGCAAAGGTAAGTAATTTAGATAATATTATGATAAAGATATGATTAGAAAAGAATGATTTTTATAGACTTGTTACAAAAAGATAAATTATTTATTACTAGAGAGTATTTATATTCATTGTAGAAATTTGTATGAAAAAGATTGCGTTCATGAATATTATTGTCTTTTTAAACTATTTAGTGTGAAATTGAAACATTACTAAATAATAATCTTTTATAGCATATTTTGTAATATATATATATATTACAAAGTATATATATGTATATATATATATAAATATATATATATATATATATATATATATATATATAATATATATATAAATATTATAATTTTTATTTGGTATACTTTTTTTTTTTATAAGAAAAGTGTTATAGATTATAAGTGGGATAGAAAGTTTTACTTTAATATTAATTTTTTTCATTATAAAATGTATGATCCCTTATAATTTATAATTAAGCACTATTTTTATCATTATAATCTATATTCATTCTTGCCAAATATGAGAAAATAAAAGAAAAGATTTTTTTATCAATGTGTGATACTTTCGATTTTAAAACTTTATGTTTTATATTGCTGCATAATAACTATATATCTATAAATTATACTTTTGTATGTTTTTTTTTGTTAATATTATACATTAATGGAGTAATGAAGATATTACATAAACTTAAACTTTTATGAAATAAAAACAGTCTTCATCTTGTTGTTGCACAGTTGATTTAATTAAATGAAGCCAGAAAAAAAAAGAATGGATATAGAAATTACATGCGAGAACCCTTCTGCTGCAGAACCTAAAATAATGATAAATTTAATGATTTATGCTTAGTAGAAGAGTATATTTATATTAAAAATATATTTTATACATAAAGAAAAGCATTAATTAATTTATAAAAAATTTTTGAGATATAAAAATATCTCTAATATTGTTTAACCTCTGTTTTTCATTGTATATGTAATTTGAGTTTAATATGATAAAATTTTTTTATATATTAAAAAAAATATTATTAATAAAAATAAAATAAATATATAAGTTCAATTATTACTAGAATTTCATTATGAATACAACATTATGCAAAAAGTTTTAACAATTAATAAATTTTATTATGAATTTATATTTTTTTATCAATTCAAATATAATAAATAACAAATAATATAAGATAATAGGGGAAAAAATAATCAGCCCATCAAATCAATAAAAAAAAAATCTTTATTTTATTTTATGCATAGCATGCAATACAAAAATCATGATATGTACAACAAATAAACAGAGGTAAAACATTGTGCTTATATAAATTAGGCTGAATTAATATAAAATATAAAATTTTTTGATAAATAAAATATAATTAATTCATTATTATATTATATTATATTTCACATTACAGTCATAAAAAAATCATAGAAAAAAGAAAAATATTTCTCATTTTTAAATAATCAATATAAAATAATTTTTTTATAAAATAATATAATTATAACAAAAACTATATCAAGAAAATTAGAAATTAAAAAATAAATAAAATATTTAAAAGTATAATTTACATATATCTAATGTTTTAGATTTTTCATAAATATTTTATAATTCATAAATTATTTATATGTGAAAAATAAAATAATAATATGTTATTTAATTTATTTCAATATTGCTCAATATTTTCAAAATTGCTTCAATATTTCAATATTGTTATTTATTTTTTATTATGTATTGTATATTATTCATTCTATTTACAATAACAATAATTATTCATTTAAACATAAAATTTAGACAAATATAAAATATTAATAAATATATAAAGATATTTACATGATTTCATATATTTATATTTTTTTAAAAATGTTATATAAGAATAATTACACATTTCTGCAGTTTTATTAAAATTATCATATTATATAATATATTAATGTTTCTTTCTTTTATATTTATTCTATATTATGTATTCTATTTATTTTTAAGCTTTAATTTAATTAATTATTAAAAAAAATTATTATATAGTATTCATAAAAACCATATATATGCTATTATTGATAAATCAGAAATCATTGAATTTCATATATATAAATGAAGATATAAAAGTTTTATCTATAAATCTTTTTCTTGAAATCACTATCAATTCTCTATAATTAATATAATTAATATTAATATAATAATTAATATTAATAATATAATGTTAAAGTTATAATAAAATATACATTAAATAAAAAAAATAATATAATTATTTAATAAAATTAAAAAAAACTAAAAAAATATATATGACATACTACTTTGATTAAAAAATATGAAAAATTTTAATACAATTAAATTGTACCTTAACACGATCAGTTGATTCTTGTTCTTTGCTATTAAGTTGACTGGCTCCATATTCTCGACTAACCACACATAGAAATTCAGCATGATCATCATTTCCATAATTATATTGGGATCCTATATTGATTAACTAAAACAAATAAAAATAAAATATATTTAATTTTGAAAATAAATATTTATTAAATTTTAATATGATTTTATATGTTATATAATATTAATTTTATATATATTTTATATATATTATATAATTTTAATATTATAAATATAATATTAAAGTTGTTAGAAATATAACAAACATTAAAACATTTTCAAAAAATAATTTTATTTAAAAAAAATATAATTTGTAAATTATTTATATTAAAATAAAAATAAAAAATTATATTTAGTTTAAAATATAAAAAAAATACCTGCTCAAACTTCCATCCATCAGACATTGTTGATACCATTTGAGTTAATTCATCTTCATGACATTGAATGACTCTATAAACATGTTTCTTTGAATCTCTTAATGGTCTAGTATCTCTTAATATAATTCTTTCTTTAACTAATCGAATAAGTTCTGTAATGTTGTAAAATTCTGCTTCTTCTAAGACACCTTCTTCTGTTAAATCTTTATTGATAACCAATTTTCCATGACGTAAGTAATTTAAAACAGGACTAAAATATGTTGGATCACGATCTATTAAATATGCTCCAGTTTCATCCTATATAATAAAATATATAAATAAATTGATTTATTTAATATAATTTTTTAAAAATATATTTTTATGTAAATAAATTAAAATTCATATTATATAGGCATTATTATTATATAATTATATTAATATAATAATAATATATTAATATATAATAATAGTTATATTATATTAATATATCTTAATATATGTTATATATCATATTAATATATCTTGAATCACATATAAATTTCTACAATTATTAAAAATTAACAAAATTTGTTTATATATATACTAAATTTTTAAATTTTAATATTTTTTAAATATAAAGATATTTTTTATAAAAAAATAATAATATATATAATATCTAAATTGATTTAAATATAAAATTATTCTTATTAATTATATAAAAATTATAAATAATATACGTATAGATGAAAATATTTAATATTTAATAATTTAGTGATATTTTAAAATTCGCGGTTATTTAAAAACATCAACTAACCCTGTCAGAGATAAGCTCAGAATCTTCTTGACATAATCGGTAAAGAAATGAATTGGGATCTCTAGCTAAAGTAGTTTTTGCTGTCAAAAAATATGTACCACCAACATTTAATCGAACCCACTGGTTGTTACACCGTTTTTGAATGTGATTTTCTGTCATTTCGTGTGAATTCGTATCACTGAAATCCTCCATGTTTGCTTTGAAACTTAAGCACTTTCAGTTCATAGGTTTCTTTGGTAGAATCAAATCAATGTTTTAATTGTAAGTTTGTAAAAATAAAAATCATATTATAATGTTTTATTAAACAAAATTCGAATATTATATTTTATTTATTAACATATTTTGGTGCAATTTAATACATAATATTATTATTAAGATTGGTATTTTATGGCGGGAAAGCAAATTAAAATCATTATTTACAAAAAAAATAAATATAAATAATATTTTTGTTATTTTTTTTAAATAAAATTCCTATTATATATCTTTTATAAGATATGACAGGACAATATTAATAAAACTAATAATATAAGTATATAATTTGAGAGACTAAAAGAAATTTAATATTTAAATTGTTAGTAAGTAATAAGTACCCATACATCCGGCAAAATAGAACTAAAATTTTGTAGGACATGATTTGCGTAAGTTAATAAAACAAGTGAAAATATAGTTTTTTGTTTTAGTAGCAGAAGATTATCTTCAGTGTTTACTAAAAATAATAATAAATGCATATTTGTATGAAAAAATAAGATTTTTTTAAGACATATCGAATTCAATCTTCGTGTAAAAATTACGATCGCGAGCGTGTCTGGGTTCGAGGCTTTATATAAATACATCTATGTCCTGAAAATTACCGGCAGTCATTGCGAGAATTTTGTAATGAAGGAATTGTCGCCCAAGGAGGGCAAATTTTAAGAGCGTTCACTTGAGCCGAGAATGCCGGTGAAAGTTGACGTAGTACCACCACCGCCCGCAAACTCAAAGCAGCCGGGTGTCACAAAATCTTTGCTTTACAACGGTTCGCGATTTCAAGGCTCTCAAAAGTCTAAAGGCAACAGTTATGACGTAGAAGTAGTTTTGCAGGTTAGTTCTTCGTCTTTCTGGAAATTGCGCCACAAATATCCAAAATTTCTATTGCACTTTTGACATCTGTCTACTGTATAATGATTATATATGTGCATGTGTGTATGTGGACGTGCTTACATCTCTTTTATTCTTTAAATATTTTATAATTTTTTTTTTCTATTGAGATTAATTTATTGCATTAATTTATTTGTATAATATATTTATATTAGTTTATTATATTGTTTATATATTTAAATAATTCAGAATTAAAATAACTTAGAATTAAAATAACTTAGAATTAAAAAAATCTAAAAAATTTTTTTATATTTCTGAATTTATTTACATATATTATTATTACATATATTATTATTTACATATATAAATATATGTATATTTATCGTATTACTTTATTATTTACAGTCTACATAATGTATTGTAAAATATCTATATATAATATATTTATAAATTTTTAATATAAAATTTAAATATATAATATTATTTAATGAGAACAAAAAATTAGTATTTATTTATAATTTTTATTTTTTATTTATAATTTATAAATAACAAATATTATAAAAATTAATTTAAAATTTAAATTAATTCTTTTATTGCAAAATTATTTGATAGCTAACATTTTTATATTGAAAAATGTGATGTGTAAGTATGTATTTATAGATAAATATTTAATGTACTTTTCTCTCTCTCTCTCTCTCTCTCTCTCTCTCTCTCTCTCTCTCTCTCTCTCTCTCTCATATATATATATATTTTTTTTTTGTTTCAATAAATATTTTTGTATTTATGTATTTTACAGCATGTAGATGAAGAAAATAGCTATTTATGTGGCTATTTAAAAATTAAAGGTCTTACAGAGGAATTTCCTACATTAACTACATTTTTTGATGGTGAAATTATATCAAAGAAATATCCCTTTTTAACTCGAAAATGGGATGCAGATGAAGATGTTGATAGAAAACATTGGGTTTGTATTACATTTCAATATATATTTTTTCTAATGAATATCTGTTTATAATTTTTTAAATATTTTTTTTAATTATAGAGCAAATTTGAATCATTTCGTCAATATGCTAAGACATTTAACTCTGATACATTTGATTATGAGGCTTTAAAAGGAACTGATTTTGTTTTTATGAGGTGGAAAGAACATTTTTTGGTTCCTGATCATACTATTAAAGATATCAACGGTGCCTCATTTGCAGGATTTTATTATATTTGTTTTCAAAAATCTGCTGCTACAATTGAAGGCTTTTATTATCATCGTAGTTCTGAATGGTAATTATATTTCTATAATATAAAAAATATATATCATATATCAATGGTATATGATTAAATTTTAAAAAGTTTGAATCAATTTTAAAATTTTTATGAGTTAGTATTTTTTTCAGGAATTAATTTAAACCTATCTTAATAGTGAGAGAAGATAACTAAAAAAAATAATATAGATCAAATACATCAAATAGAGATATTTGAGTTAGCACTTCAAAGGAATGTTACAAGAGAAAGATATTCATATGATAAAAAAAATTTCACTTTCTATTTCGATCTCACTATTATAAAAACAATCCCAATAAACTATCAAAACTTTTATAATTAAAATGAATTCAAAATAATTAGAATAATCAAATCAAAATGTAATTGGAATAATCATAATCTTGAATTAGATTAATTTTAATTAAATCATTATCAATAATTATTGATAATGTTGATTATTAATAAAAATATATATGTATTCCATCTCATTTTGATTAGAAAAATCTTAGCAATTCATTAATTCTATTTTCATAAAGATAAGATGAAAATTATAGAAAGTGATATTATTTTTTTCTCTTTAGATATTTAGGTATTCCTTTGAAATATCGATTTTTAATTATTATTGCTTGACGAGTCTATTCTATTTTTTTTTACTTTTCTTTTGTCTTTTGTAATTAAAATTGGATATTGAAGTAAGAATAATAAAAGAAGAATAAAACTCAAAAAATTTTCTATGTTTAAAATTTAACTAAACATTACTGCCTATATATTTATATAATCAATATATAATTATAATATATATATAATATACACGTAGATTATAATTTTCAATATAGTCTTTTACAATTTATATAAGATAAACTGCTATCTATATATTAGGTTTGATGATGAGAAATCTTCCTTACTGCTTATTTAATATTTATTCATATAAGAAGGCTTCTGTTGAAGAATACTTTTTAATATTTTATTATTATTATTTATTATTAATTATCAATAATTACAAAAATAAAACTGAAAAAAGTATTATCACAATTTTTTTTATTCTTGATTTTCATTATATTTTGATTTATAGAATCATCTCTTAAATTTTTGGATATCTGTAAAAATACTCAAATACCCTTTGCGTGTGTAATTAAGTATTATAGTGTATAATTATTCATTATATAAATCTTATTTATATATTATTTTTTATTTTAAATATTATTTTATTAAAATATTAATATTTTTATAATTTTATTTTTATGTATTTTGTATTTAAAAAAATAAAAATTTGTAATTGTATATTATAAATGTTATATAATTGTATATTATAAATTGTATATTATAATATAGTATATTATAAAAAATTATATTAATATTGTATTTCTTGTATTTTGTAGAGAATTAACAAAATTTTTATTATTTCAGGTATCAATCATTGAATTTAAAACACGTCCCAGAACATAGCATACAAATCTACGAATTCAGGTGAAATCAATGACTCACTCAGTTATTTCTCCAAATTCATATTTTGTCTCTCCTAGCATACAGATCTCATAAAAATCAATCTGTTAAGTAGTTTAATTCAATTTTGAACAAGCAACAATTTTTAAATTGTTTATGTTAAAAATAAGGTTCTTGAAAGAATTAACTACTTATTTCTTAGGTTTTTTTTTTCTTTCTTTTTAAACAGTAGTATATAATATATGGAATATACATGTATTAAATTTAATTTATATAAATATTAGATATGTCATAAAGAAAAGTCATAATTAAAAAAATGACAAAGATTGCAGTCATTGATACGCTTGATTATAAATTAGATATTATTGATATTCATTGTAAGATGTTTTATCGAAATAAATTAATTGATATTTTTTGTCAATTAAATTGTTGTTAATTATTTGATATTTTTATATAAGACTGTATTATTGTTTATTAGCAATATTTATCTATTTTTTTGTTTAAGTTTAATAATTAATATATATAGTTAAAAATCTTATTAATTTATATATTTAAAAACACACGAAATGAGAATAATTTTCTAAAATTGAAAGAATAAATATAATTATATTTGAATTACTTATTAGAGAATCTAATGACTGCATAGATTTATATTTTACTGCAGAGAAATTTAATGTTTTATATTTTATTCACTCAAGTACTTATGAGATCTGTTTGCCTAAACTGAAAGAACGATAATGACTGAATGAATTGGCGTGAATGTAATAAAAATCACACTGAAATATGAAAGTAATTTTAATATTAATTTAAGATATCAAAATTTCATGTTGATATTATTCTCTTGCATCAGCATGATACAAACTAAATGGTAAATTCAGATTAAACGTTCCATTTAAGGAGAATTTTGTTAGGAAGAATTTTCTTATTCTATCTATACAAATCAGTTTATGTACTCATTAATTCTATTTTATATATTTAATACAATTAATAAATTCTTAGTCACAGAAGCATACCAAATAAAGAAAGCCTTTCCTTATAAGATTCCCCTAAGTGGTACAATTTTAATGAGCCAAGTGAACAAGAAATCTTTTATGAATATTCATAATATTAATAAAACAAAAAATTTGATACAAGTTGGCTATTTATAGAAATCGTAATATAATGTTGAATAATAAGATATTCAATCTGTTATAGATATAAAACATACAATTATTCATTACATTAATTAAACTAATTTAAATTAATTATTTATTCAGTAAATTATTAAACATTAAAGATTATTATTAATTTTGAATCTCTTTAAAAATGAAAAAAATTATTCTTTTTAATCTTAATCACTAAAAAAATTTTTAATATTATCAAAATAATAAAATTTGTATACTATTTAAAAAAAAATTTAATTTCTTTATTTTATTTTTGTAGAACGGGACATGAATATAAAATATATAAGCATTATATGTAGCTTATATTAAAATATCTTTATTGTATTGATTAATACATTTTTGTTACTTTTTATTCCAGTAAAACTAAGTGAAACTAAAAAATAGCAAACTTATTATTCGACATAAAATTTTAATACTAAATAATTGTTACTTATATAAATAATTTTATTAATATTCATTTGTTAGTTAATTTACAAAAAATATTTTTTCAAATATAAATCTTAAAAATCTGGAATATATATATATATATATATATATATATATATATATAAATTCATATCTTATTTGACTAATTGTTGTAATATTTTTATGTAATATATTTAAGAACAAACAATTGACTTTTTTATATAATATATTTTCTTCCAAATTAATATTTTAGCAGAAAGTAGAGTTTAATACTTCTTTTGAATTCATGTACATTGTAATTACTTTAATATTAAAACAAAGAAAAAAATATCAATTCATCATTACAAAATTAAGTATAAAAAATGTGTAGATTCTTGTTATATTGTAAATTGCTTATTAAATATATCTATTAAAACTATTATATAATATTTTCAATATAAAAATAAAATTATAAATAAATTAAGGAATATATAAAACTGGTACAAATCACTTCAATGTTTAAATTTTCTAATAGTTTAATTAAAAGTTAATAAAATTTCTTCCAAAATAAAGAACTATAGATTGCTTTAGTGCAATCTATTCATTTTAAACAATTTTAACATTAGAATGAAATGTATTAATAATGTAAAATACAATAAAGGAACTTCTCCATTAAATTATGCTAGTTATTTTTTTATATGTATAAATTATTTAGTTTAATTCTGAATATCCATATAAGTTAACAAAAATTTAATGATGAACAAGAAATAAATATAATATAACAAAATTGAATTAACAAGAACTTGTATGTGTTTCAAGTGGTTGATCACTAATTTTATCAATTATTATAGATGATTTCTCTCTTTTTTTTTTTTTGGATAATGTTTTTATAGATCTAGTTAAGCGTTTAGTTTTTGCAACTGTTCGATTTCTTTGATTAAGAGTTACACTTCTCAATTTTCTATTTGTACCATGTGTAGTTTGCTAAATTATACAATTTAATTGTTTAGATATATTACTATAATAGCAATATAATATGATATAACAACATATTTACCATAATATTAGAACAATATTGACAAAGACAAATTGTATCAGTTGATGTAGATGTAGCTTTATGTAATATAGCTTCAAATCCTAAAAATTTTGTATCAAAATTAATTTTAGCTTTTATCACATCAGTAAATGAATTTTGAACTGTTAATATGTTATCAATATAATCTTGAATTTTTCCTTCCCTATTTAATTGTTGATTATTTAATGAAGGAAGTTGCATTTGTTTTATATTATTAATATCTACTAGTTTACAATTTTTGTTTGTATTACTGGATTCATTTTGTAGATTATATGTTTTTTTGATATTTGAAGTAGATACTTCATTTTGTAAAAGATCTAATAATAAATTATTATAATAGTTTAAAATTTAATAATATATTATTATTAAATTAACTTACCAATAAAATTTTTTAAATATTCTGAAAAGATTTTATTACAAGAAAGTAAATGTTGAAAAGCTTCATCAAGGTTTTTCTCTGTAAAATATGTTCTTGCTAATAGAGATCGTTCAGATAAAGTTACATCAATGATATTAGAATTAAAAATTTTCCATTGTTTACGAGAAATCTCTGCTTGCCATTCTAAAGCACAATCTTCTAGTCTTGTATTGATTGACTTTAACAATTCATTTGCTTCTAATAACTGTTGAGGAATACAGGGATTCCTTTTATTGAAAGGAAGATCACCACTATCTTCAATCATAGATATATTATCAATTGTTGTCATTTCTAATTTTTCTTTGAATTATACAGATATATTACTTAAACATTGATTAAATCTGTTTGTAAAGTTTATAGTAAGAACTAAAAAAAATAAGGATAAATGAAATAAATTGAAATAAATGAAATAAATTTGAAATAAATTTAGATTGCATTAGTCTTTTATCAAACAATTGAATAGTTTTTAAGTATACTCTGTGTAATAATAATTAAATGCATTATAACAATAAAACAATTTTATTTTATTTTTTAAATCTTACTATACAAGATATTGAATTTTAATATTTGTTAACATGGAAATAATTACATGGATATAATTATGAAAATTATAATAACTTAATATTGATATTAAGACATTGAAAATTTATATATTTAATGAAAATGTCTATAAATAAATTATTGCATATAGTGCATTTTTCATTTTATTTTTAAAATAACAATATATTTTTAAAAAAGCAATTTTATAATCTTTATATATCTTATTATATCTTTTTCTATTATACAATCTCAATACATTGAATAAATTGAATATTCTTTTATAATCAAAATAAAATAATATTTCATAATTTAAATTTTATAAAATAGATAAGATTTAAGATTTAATTTTAATCTATTGCCTGAATGTTGCATTTATAATATAATTAAATCCAATTATTATATATAAAAAATTTTATTATTAAAGACAAAATTTAAAGACAATATAATAATACATTAATTTGAAATAATTGATGAAATTTTAAAATAGTTATTTATATACAATTAAATATTAAATCATATATTCTTATTAATCTTTTGACAACCACAACCATACAATTCATTTTTAAAAATAATTATTACTGTTGAGATCATTAATAGGTTAAAAGAAATCAGTTATTTGCATTTACAATGCACTTTAAAAACAATACTAAAATGTAATACTATTTACATTGTTATTTTTTATAATAAAATTATTTATTGAATTTAAAATATAAGCAAATTTTAATAAAATGAAAATGAAAAGATAATTTTTTTATTTTTTCAATTATTTAGATGGCCCCTTTCTTTTCTTAATATTTGTAAAAAATTCTATTATTTTACAGTAATATACGTACAGCAATGAAATTAATATTTTTTTTTGTATTATATTATTTTTTTTATAGTTAAAATATAATATTAACAATTAAAAAAATGACTTAAAGTAGCAAGAAAAAGATGAATTAAAAAATATTAATAAATAATATCATATTTTGTTTTGTTATATTAAAATTATTTTATAAATATTTTATATATATATATGTTAATATATTCCTTTGGACAGATAAGTCCATTTATGATTATATATATATTATATCATATATAATATATTAATTAATAGCTGCTTTTATATATACATTTATAATTTAATTTGAATTTTATATAGTATAAATACATTTGATGCATTTTCTTGATATCATATAATTTTTAAAAAAACTATCATTAGATTATTATTACAGATTGATAAATTTTATACAACAGATTTCTATGATTTAATTTAATGATGATAATAACAATAATTTTCTTATTAAAACATTAAAATAAGTATTATAAACAAAAATTATATTATAATAAAATTATAAAAAACTTAATAAATTAAAACACTATTATTATATCACTGATATTAAGAGATTATAGTAATCTATTGTAATAAAATTTATCAAAATATGATTACAGTAATTGAATCTATTTATATTTACACAATACATATTATAAACTTATACTGTACAAATAAAATAATATACAATTATTTTAAGTTATTTAAATAAAAAATAATATTTGTATTATTATGATAAATTTTTTTTAAATGTAATTCAATTGTGCATAATAAGTAAATCTTTAAAAAGAACAGAAAAAAAATTAATTGTATAATATTATTTTGGATTGCTTTGAGATACATACTAAAATAGAATTTCAAAAATAACATATTAAGATAAATTTCTCTATTCATTATTGAATATTTAAAAAATAATATAATTTTTAAAAACTTTAATGATTATGATTTCAAGGTTTATTTTCATGTATTCTTATTTAATTAGCTGCTCTAAATTATTAAACTTACATTAATCTTAGTCTACACCACAACCTTTGTAGACTTAGTGAACTTGTACTTTGCTTCAATATTTCCTGTTTTAATATACATTCAACTTAAAAAGCATTGTTCATCAAAATTTAATGGGAAGAAGAAAAAAATATTACATAAAGACTTAACAAAGTATTAATACAATTTATATTACTTATTATATTTTATTAATGTATTTTTCTGCAAGATCTTTCATGAAAAATATCATGTAAACTATTATTTCAAATATTATTAATAAGATTTATATATAAAATCATAAAATAATGATGAAAAATTATGAAATAAGTTCTTCTTGAATTTATTGTTATTCTATTTATATTGAAATTTAAGAAAATATCACATAAAAAGAATTTTAATATTAAATAATCATTAAATTAAATATAAAAGTATCATGATTATTTCTATTTCTTGATTATAAGCAAATTATTTTGTTTTTTATTTTTTTGCTAATATTTCATGCTATTAAAAAAAAAATTTATATTTTTATTTTTTGTAATGGCACATTTTAAAAAATTTTTTTATGTCAAAACAGGAAAGAAAAATTAATATTTACAATTATAACTTTAAAATTATTCTCAAGATATTGTGCAAGAATTACGACCAACACAACTGGTACGAGAATCTGTTATACTACCAGGTGAACTACCTGGAGTTGATAATCCATTATGGCCTACACCAACAAAACGTAATTTTCGATGATGAGAACCTAAACTTTTACTAGAGCTCAATGATCTATTTCCATTATAACGTAATTGTGACGTAGTTGTCATTGCATAAGATTTTAAATGAGATTTAATAGATTTAGGCAATGGAAGTTGATCAATACCATAAACTGTTGTTCTTGCAACTATTGCACGACATGCAAGTTCTTGAAGACTGAGAACTAAAACATAAGATGATATTCATATCAGATTTTTCTGAAATAATAACGAAAATTGAAATGCATTACCTTTATTAGAGCGCCACAATCTTTCCATACCATTACGATGTAAAGCCATTCGAGAAAGTTCAGAAAAACTTTCACGAATATTAAAATCACAGAGAGGTGAAACTTCAAAAAATGCCATGTGATTTTTAGCTGCATATGCTTCAGCATCACGTTCTCCTACTTGTCTTTTAAAAGCTAAATGAAGACGATTACCAACAAGTACTTTTGGTACTCCAGGAGCATGCTACAATATAAATAAAAATTAAATATAATTTCGATATTAATTAAATATTAATTTAAAAAATTAAATATTAATTTTTGTTTTTAAAAAATAAATTTTAAATTTGATTAATAGTAATTGTATTTAGTATTTAAATATCTCAAAAAAATTAGTTTAAAAAAATGATGCTAAAAAATAATTTATTTTTAATATATTGTATTTTGTATTATTTGTAATACATACAAATAAAATTAATCATTTAAAATAATTTTTACATACTTCTTCAACTTCTTTTAGCCATCTGTCAATACCATCAAAAGACCATTTATTGGTAATATCATAGACTAAGAATATACCTTGAGCTCCACGAGAATAAGATCTGATTATTGTACAAAATCTACCCTGACCTGATGTGTCCCATAATTGTAATTTTACTCTTTTTCCATCCAGTAAAATAGTAGTAGTTTTATATGCTAGAAAATAAATATTGATAAATTATTATTCGTAAAATAAATATATAAACATAATTCATATAATGTTTTAACATAAATAAAATAAATTTAAAACTATTTGTATAAAAAATGATATAAAATATAATATAAAATATAAAAATAAATATAAAATAATATAAAATAAATATTATTATATAAAAAATTTCATTATAAATGTTAATAAATAATTTTCAATAACAATAAATAAATTCTGGAATTTCTTCTTATATTGCTAATAATCATTATTATTCAATTTCAAATATGATACAATTAAAAATGAATATCACTTTATTATAATGAATTCAATATAAATACATTATTTATATTTTTACGCAAAATTAGATTGAAATAGAAAAAGTAATTTAGAATAAATAATAGAAAGAAAAATTCTAAATACCACTGCCGCTGCAAAACGGAGATTCGGCAGCACCGTCTTCAAGTCCACTCAAGATTTCTTGTTTTCCAACGTCACTGTCACCCACCAGCAAAAATTTGAGGAGGTAATCGTATTGTTTTTCTTGACGAGACTTCGTTGTGCTGGCCTCACCTGCAGCCATAATAATCCTGTATTGGAAACCCTGAGCATACTGCAAACCTCTATGCACTGATCGCTCTTAACGTTTTTTGTATTTAAGGATCCGTGGACGGATAACCTTTTTTAATAAATTGTTATTGCAAATCAGACCATTTCACTCTTCAACCCAAAATTCTTTTTGCACATCAACAATATTTCTTTATAACATTCTTTCATCAATAACTATTATTCTTTTAAACAAAATCATAACAAAGCAAGAATGAATTTCCATCATTTTCCACTATATTATCTATTTTATGTTTAATTGTTTAGTTGAGGTATATCTACACTTGAAATTATCGAAGGTTAAATATGTTCGTTAAGTAACTAACTTTTAAGGCTATATAAGAAACCATTACCTAGTATCTTTTCTAGTTTTATTACTAGTTATTTTTTCTTATTAGTTAGTTTAGTTATTTATTAAAAAAAATCTTATTATCATCTATTGATAAGAAATGTTATTTTTTTATTAAATAAATAAATAAATAATTTAATATAATTTAATTAATATTGCAATTCAATCCAAAAAAGATAAGTATTATATTTAATTTTTTTAATAATTTAAAATAATTAAATTAAAATTTAAGTTTTTTAATATTTAATTTATTTTAATCATGTTAAATTTCCTTAAATCAGCCAATTTTAGAAAAATAATAATTTTAATTATAAATATATATATATTAATAATTTTAAAAGAATTGAATAATAAATATCATTGAAATAAAATTATTAATTGTAAAATAATAATTAAAAGTGATAATTTATTTAAATTTGAGTATTTTTATAATAATAATCATATTTAATGTTTGAAATATACAATAAATTTTTTTAATAATAAAAGATTTAAAATATTAAAATTTTGAATACAATTTTATATATTTTTAAATCAAATTATAGTATATAATTTAATAAATATTAAATATTATAACTTATATATAATATTTTTTTGAAATATTAATATATAATTAATTTCATTGATTAATTTAATTTATGTATTTATTTATTCTTTTTTATGTAAATATGTATTATAATAATGTATTTATACATAAGTTATAATAAATACATAGAACAGACTGTTTTTTATTTTTTGAAATATATTTTTTAACAAACATATAATATATGATTATCATATAACTAAATAAAAAGAATAACTTTTAAAATTATTTTTATACATGATTGATATTTATTAAATTTATTAAATAATTTCAATTTTTAATGTATTAAAAAAAATTTAATATAAATATTTCTTTCTTATACTAAATAAAATAAATCTAGCATTTAAGTTTAAATGACAATTCTTTTTCTCTCTCTCTCTTTTTTTTCCAGCAAACATGTATAAAACGTATAAACAAAATTATGTAATATTCTACTTTTGCTATTTTCACAAATAATTTATAATTATATAAATTTTATTTTTTAACTATTTGAATAACATCTTCATCATGCATAATATGTTGTAATCCAACTCGTTGGGGTGAATATTTGGTACTTGTACCCTGAAAAATAATATATTTATAAAGATAATATGCATTTTAAAAAATTTTTTTCTTTTTAAGATATTGTTTTTAATTTTGAAAAATTATATATATTTTTACGTATTATTTTTTATAATTTATTATTTTTATTATATTTACATATATTTTGGAAATTAACAAAAAAAAATAAGAAGAACATATAACATACATTAATTATTTTATATATTTTATAATTAGAATATATATTTATTATTATATATTTATAGTTATTTGTAATTGTTGTTAAGTAATTTTTTTTATTTTTTTATAATTATTTCATAAAAATAAATATTGTATTATAAATAATAAAAATAAATAATTTATTAAAAAGTTATTAAATTAAAATCTTTGATTATTAGGACGATATTTTACCAATTTTTTTTTTTGTTCTAAAACAGTGCTGTCCACTGATGGGGCCCTTTACGCGGTTTTATCTCCTTTTATGCTAGTATTCAAAAGTAGTGGAGTAATTCATGCATTTCCATCTTCTATGAATTCTTCAGTCACATTTCCTCGTTTTATATTCAATGATAGCATATGTTATGTTCAGTTATTAATATATTTTCTTCAGCTAAGACCAAATATAATCAATCCTTTTATTTGACTGTTCTGAAAATAATCGATTAAAGTTTGAATTCTATATATTAGAGATAAAAATCTCGCGCGAAATAACACAGGATGTAGATGGAGCCCATTTTATTAGCAACTAAGTTTGGACAGCACTGATCTAGAAAAATATATTTTTTTTTTTTGATATTATATTATATTTTTTTTTTATTTATTCTAATAGTAAGCATCTAATAATTAGTAAAATCAAAATTTTCTCATTTTATTAAAAAATATTAATCAATAATTATAAGAAATATAGGTTATAAATACAAAAATATGAAAATTAAATATTTATTACAAATAATTCTTACCCAAACAAGAGCATATTTAAATTGTTGAGCAAGTGTACGATGAATTGCATGACATACATGTTCTACTGTAACTCCTTTTCTTAATATTAAACCATCTTCAAAATCAGGTGGTTGACCAGGTTTTTTTGTATAAACTCTTATTAAAGATAAATATTCCCATAATGTTTCAAGAAGGAAGTCCAAATTTAATTTCATATTGCAACTATAAGAAAAATGTTAAATTATTATTATTTATATTATTTATATTTATATTATTTTATAATTTTTTTTATAATTGGTTAAACAATATAAAAATGAAAAAAAAATGAATCTTTTTAAATAATAATAAATAAAAATATAAATATAAAAAATATAATAAATAAAAATATTTAAAAATACATGAAAAAATTTTACCTAACTACTACACTATTAGGCTGCCTGGCAATTCTATCCACTTCTTCTATTGATATCTGATCTATTTTGTTATGTACATAAAGACATGGTAAATATACTCTGTTGGCATTAATTACATCAATTAATTCATCTGCACTACAATCTTCGCGAAATAGAACTTCTGCATTGAAAATTTTATATTCATGTAAAATCATTTGAACTAATTTTTCATCTACTTTTGTTAATGGACATGTTGAGTTAAATGCTAATCCACCTCCTTTCTTTATCTTGAAATATATGTTTGGCTTTTTTTTATTAAGTCGTATACCAACTGATTCTAATTCTTTTTCTAAAAGTTGTCTTTGTACATCTTGTTTAGTAGCATCTAGCATCATAAGAACTAAATCAGCTGTTCGTGCAACAGCTATTACTTGCCTACCCCTTCCTTTACCCTAAAATATTTATAGATATAAAAATTTTATATATTATTTTTATTCATTGATATAAAAATTATATATATATATAATTATAATTATTAATTAAAATTATATTAAATAAACTATATTAAAAAAATTTTGTAATTACCTGTGCAGCACCTTCAATTATTCCAGGAAGATCAAGAAGTTGAATATTGGCTCCTTTATATTCAATAACACCAGGTATACAAGTTAATGTAGTAAATTCATAAGATGCTGCTTCAGATTCTGTATGTGTTAATGTACTTAATAAAGTAGATTTTCCTACAGAAGGAAAGCCTATTAAAGCTACTCTTGCATCTCCTGATTTTAATACATCAAATCCTTCTCCTTTTTCAGATTTTTTTGGTGGTTCTAAAAGTTGTGATCTATATTTCGCAAGTTTTGCTTTTAATAAACCTAAATGATACTCAGTAGCTAAAAATTAATTAATAAATTAAATTAATTATCAATAAATTTGATTTTTATAGGAATCATTATTTTAAATATTATGATGATAATATTATGCTAGATATTAAATTATTATCAAATATTATGATTATATTAATTTCAACTGTTATCACATTAAAAATCTATATTGAAAAATCTAATAAAAATATAATAAATAAAAATATTATTAAAATATTATTAAAAATTAATTAATAAAAATAAAAAATTTTTTCTAGATGAATATTATTAATAAACTAGTATAATATAAAGAATAATAAAGATTTATTATAAATCAATTTTAAAATGATTTATTAAATTTAAATTATTATATTTTATAATAATTATTTAATTTTAATTGAGAATAAAATATTTTATATCAAAAATTATAAATTTTTAATATTTTATAATTTTTTGCATATGCTACAAATGCAAGCATAAGCAAATGTACAAGTACTTTTACATAAGATTACAAAAATCATTATAGCTTTAAAATATGAACAAACCTTTATTTTTTTGTGTCCGAGCAATTTCTTTTTCAATTTCAGATATTTTTTCTAATATTCCCATTTTAATAAAGTAACAAATGTACAATAAATTTACATTTACAAAAATGACATACACTACTCTTACGCGTGGTGTGCGTGATAATATAAACCATTTACCATAAACAATAAATTATTAGAAGAACGTTCATCGCTATTCAATGACGCCATCTAACAGTTTAATATAAATGTTGAATTTTATATTCAAATATAATTTGAAAGAAGCATATCTTAAATTATACTAGTTTATGATTATATTATTTAGAATAATTCGTGCATGTGAACTTTTTTCTTTTGGATTAATTTATAGATTTTCAAACTAGAGATTATATTAAATATTTTACTTAATTAGATAAAAGTAGTAATCATGTATGACGATTACAATGAGGTAAATACTAATTAAATAAATGTTTATATTATAATGTTATTATGCCAATAAAAATATAATTTAAATTATTTTTAGTACGATGCTTATGATGATTATGGACCACCAGATGTTCATAGCGATCAATATGACAGATTAGGTTATCGCCAAGTACCAGAAGTTGTACGAAATTTTTTAGTATTTTTGCGAAATTGTATAAATGAAGGAATGATTTTTGAAATTCAAAATCTTTATGAAACAACATTTCCAAAAATTTCAGAACAATTATTTGATAAATCTTCTTGGCCAGATACTCAAACAATTGCACATATAGTTGACAATGATCCAGTATTTCTTACACTGTATAAAGAACTTTATTATCGTCATATTTATGCTCGTATGCAAGGACCAACATTAGAACAACGTCTTGGTTCTTTTTATAATTATTGTGATCTTTTTAATTATATTTTACGTCCTGAGACACCAGTCCAATTGGAATTACCTGATCAATGGTTATGGGAACTTATTGATGAATTTGTTTATCAATTTCAATCTTTTACACAATATCGTGCTAATTTATCAAACAAGACACCTGAAGAAATTGAAAACTTAAATGCACATAGTAAGACATGGGATGTATTGTGTGTTTTAAATGTCTTACATTATTTAGTAGATAAATCAAAAATTAAAAGTCAATTAGAAGTATATGCAAGTGGTGGAGATCCAGATTCTGTTGCTGGTGTATTTGGAAGGCATTCTTTATATAAAATGCTTGGATATTTTTCTCTTGTAGGATTGTTACGTTTACATTCTCTTTTAGGAGATTATTATCAAGCAATTAAAGTATTAGAAAATGTTGAACTTTATAAAAAAAGTGCATATTCACATGTTCCTGGTTGTCAAATATCAACAGCATATTATGTTGGTTTTGCTTATATGATGATGCGTAGATATGCAGATGCAATTAGGACTTTCTCTGGTATATTATTATATATTCAAAGAACAAAACAATTGTTTGCAACACGAAGTTATCAAAATGATCAAATTAATAAACAAACAGAACAAATGTATCATTTACTAGCAATTTGTCTTGTTCTTCATCCACAATGTATAGATGAAGGATTACAACAAGCATTACGTGATAAGAATTATCATGAAAAAATGTATAAAATGCAATATGGAGATTTAGTTGAATTTGAATCATGCTTTCTATTTGCATGTCCAAAATTCTTGTCTCTTACACCGCCAAATCCTGATAATCCAAATGAAGACTATGTTCGAGAAGCAATTAAACATCAAACTCAAGTCTTTATGGATGAAGTTGTTCAACAGAAAATGTTACCAACAATTCGTTCGTATTTAAAATTATATACTACTTTACCGTTAAGTAAACTTGCTACATTTATGTGTAGTAATACTAGACCTGATGAAAATTGGGATTTAGATAAAGAAGTTAGTGCATTAACTATTCATCTATTATGTTTTAAACATAAAATGAAAAATATTGTTTGGACAAAAGGTGCATCAGGATTAGATGGAAAATTTCAATCCGGTTCAGAGGTATTTTATAAATGGATTATATATTTATAAAAATTATAATTATTATTATTATTATACATATTATTTTATATTATTATATATATATTATTGATTTATACTTTTATACTTTAATATTTTTATTTTTAATTATTTTTTTATTAATTATTTTAATTATTTTAATTATTTTTTATATTTACTAAAACTAAAAGATTAATTCACAATATTTATTATAGCTGGATTTTTATATTGATCATGATATGATTCACATTGCGGATACAAAAGTGGCACATCGTTATGGAGATTTTTTTATTCGGAAAATTCTCAAATTTGAGGAATTAAATCGCAAATTACATCATATAAAAATTTAAGAATGTCATTTCAATGATATATATTATATAAAATAAAAAAATTGATAATAAATATACCTTTTATTTGTATGATCATAAAATTCAAAATCAATCACCACATTAATTGATAAATTAAATTTCATCATTTTAATAAATTTAAAATTATGTATAATATATATTTAGAATAATCGTTTACATAAAACTAAAAAAAAATATTTATATAAAAATAACATATATTTATTTTTTACTTCATTATTAACATAATATAAATTCTTAAAATATATTTTATCTGAAATGCTAAAAATTGATATGATTAACAATCTCTAATTTATTTTATTTAAAATGAGAGATTAAATAATAATTCTAACAATTCCTCTAGCATTTTTTCATGTTTCATATATAGCATTTTTTAAAAATATTATTATGTTAAAAATATTTCCATTTGTTTATAAATTTTTATAATATATTTAATATAAAAAAAATGATATATTAAGATAAATTATTATTATCTATTTTACTTATTATTGATTTAATATATAATATAATATAACATAATTTACATTACTTTGCATATTGTTAAATATTAGAAATTGAATAATATAGATAATGTTTTCAAATTATGAAGGTAATGAAAAAAACGATTTCCTCTTTTATTACTGATATTAGCTCTCTCTCTTTTATTACTGGTATTACTGGTATTATCTCTCTTTTTTAACTCTATATATTTTTTCATGGAAAATAATTTATAATTATAATTTAATAGTCAAATAATAATAGCGTAAGATAAAACTATTCATTTCTTTATTTAATTGTTTTCTTAACATAATATTATTATAATAGCGTATTTTTATTTAACAATATTTACAATTTATTCATTCATTCATTTCTAAATAAATATTATTAAACTTTGAAATTGAGCGCTATTTTCAATTAAAGACAAATTCAGATGCATTTTTATTTTTATTTTATTTTCTAAATTTAATGCAGAATTTTCTATATCAATTAAAAATCACAATAAAATTATATTACTTAATTTACTTACCACATTGACTAACATAATTTTATTATTGATTGTTCTTTCATTATTTATGGCATTTCCCTTTTTTCTTTTATTATTTTCTTTATTATTTTACTATCTTATATACAATATTTTATTTTTCACTAAAATGAAAAATTTTTTAAATTTTCTTTAAAATTTATAATTTATTTCAATATTTATAATGGATCAAGCATAATAAGCATAATAAATATTGTAACAATAGTATAGTTTTTCTAAATCTAAATCTCCACATTACAATAATTTCTGTGAAAGAAAAAAAATCTTTGCATTTTTTATAATATTCATCATACGATATTAAAATATGTTACATTAGATTTTTATTATATCTTTAAAAAGACTTATTCTTAAAAAAAGAATATTCGATACAATAATTAACTTTGGATAAAAGTTCTCCAATTAGTTTAACTTATTATTATGCAATTAGCAGAAAATCTATAAACTTTCTGCCAATGAAATTAATTTTAATAAAAAGAAATTCTAAGTTTTTAATTCTATCATTAAAAGGATAATAATAATAAGGAAATAATAATAATAAGGAATAATAATAATAATAATAATAATAATAATAATAAGGAAAATAAATCCTATTTTATTAAAGTGTCATTTTCAATGTAGATAAATGTAATTCAAATGTAGATAAATGTTTTTCATGTCATAATGAATTTGATTCTAATTGATATATAACAGAAATAAATTCTTCTTCTTCAAATATCAATAAATATCTAATAACTCTCTAATTACTAATATTTACAAAAATTAGTAAATTTTATGATTTTTTTTTTTTGGATTTGAAATTTGTTTTATTCCATGTAAAACTTAAATCACAAAAAATAGATATTTTTTCATTTTTTCTAATTTGATGTAATTTAGTCACTTTTCCTAATTCCTTTAAAAATCTTTTTCTAATTCTTTGATGCATTTAATTCTAATACATTAAAGATATAAAAAATATTTTTTTTTTTTATTATTAAAAAGATTATATTAACTAAACTTACTTAATGTATAACCGAATACATTTGTTAGATAGATGTTTATAATTTTATATCATCTATATGGTCCCAATAATATAACTATTTAATTATTTTCATTAATTTTTGATCAGCTATTATAAAATAATAAATAAAATTCATCTTCATTCATCAATATCTTTATTTGTTATAAAAGTTATTTTTTATTCAACCAATCATTCTTTCAATTTTACTATTGCTATTTGGTTTTCAACTAACTATTTGGTTTTCATGAGAACTTTTAGTTTATATTTATAAGTTCAATTATAGCATTTAAATTGATTTATTTTCATTTTATATCCTTTGTTCTTTTATTTTTCGATTCTTTATTTTTTTTCTAATTTTATAACTAATATTGATCTTGGATTGTTCCTTATTATAAATGAAATGAATGATAAATAAAATAATATCTGATATATCTTTTATATTTATATGTTTTTCTAAATTTTATGGTTTCTTGAATCTTTAATTCTTTTTAATTTCTTTTTGAAAAAATTTATAATATATTTAAAATAACTTAAATTTATATTTAGAATGTAATCCTTATAAATATTCTGTGAATATGAAAAATGTTATTTTCATTCTATAATATATTGTTTGACTGTGTAATATAATTTATAAGAAAAAATATATTATGAACATAATTTTTTTGTTCACATTTTTATTACCGTTATTTGTATAAACAATATAAATAATGCTCTTATTATATCTAGATCTAGATTTTCGTTTTGTAAATAAAGGGACAATTTAACAGATTTTAAATTGTTATAAAATAATTTTATAATTATCATGATTTTGTTTATTTTTTGTAATATTTCCTAAAATAAAATTATTCTATAAATTTTTTTTTATCAATGTTTATTCATATTTATCAAAGTTAATTATTATTTCTGTTTATTTTCATTTGTTTATTGTTTAAACATTTATTATATCATTCACTATATCATTGTGCTTTGGATTTTTCAGTTAATCGCATATTTTTACTTTTAATTTTGTATATATATTTGTTTGCTTTGATATTTCTTTATCTTTTTCTTTTAATGAATTTTCTGAATTTATATTTTTACTTGAACTAAAATTCCTATTTTTCTTTATTTAATGTAATTCTCGTTTAATAATTTTTCATCGCTGTTTTTATTTGCTTGAAAAAAAATAATTAGTAGAACAAATACAATTATAATGGATATATATGGAATAAAATATTAGGAAAAAAAAAGCAATTAAAATATAAAAATTCATTGTTATTAAATTATATATATATATAGTTATTCTTATAAAAAAGAAAAAATATCTTTTATTATAATTTCATAATAAAATAAAAATTAATAAAAAATTAGGGAATCAATTGTATTTTAATAATATATTATTAAAAAAAATGTATAAATGTATTATTTATTAAAATTTTTTGCAAACTAAAAATTTCGAAAACTAAAATTAAATCAATTGTTTATATTTAAAACTCATTAAAATCAATGAAGAAAGAATTAATCGGTAAATTGACCAATAATTAAATAGTAAATTTGTAATCAAAAGTTTTTTATATTTATGTATAAATTATCAATATCAATTACATTAAAAAATTAAATTTATTTAGCTTTTCCAAGAATATTTTATGTAAACAATATGTTGTATGAGAATTTATTTCTGCATCTATATCTTTTGAAACTTCGGAACATTCACTATTTGTTGGTTCAATTTTTTTATTTCTGCAATTTAAAATATATAAATTTTTCATAAAAAGTATAAAATTAGAAAATTATATGCATATGTTTTATTCTATGATTTTATTCAAAATATTTTGTTATCTTACTCAAAAATACTTGTTGTATATTTCTCAGGTATTTTTTCAATTATTCCAGATTGCATTATATCCCATGAAAGATCCATAATACTAGATATGCATAGTAAATTGGTTATACTTTGTAATTTTTCATCAGAGTTTTCTTTACTTTTTTTTTGGCATTCAATTTTGTTATTATCTTTAAAATCTATTAATATAAAAAATAATATATTTAAAATATTAAGAAATAATAAAAAGTATAATTTATTAATTTATAATATTTGTGTATACGAGAAGAAATGTAAGAAATATAAGAAATATAAAGAAATATATTAATGTTCATAAAAATAATAATTGATTTAAAAATCATATGTAATATTTATAACATATATAATATATATAATATTTTTTTCTTAAAATTGAAACGTATCATTTTGAAATTTTTAAATAAATTTATTAATGTAAAAATATAGATTTAAAAAATTCACGAGAGCAGTAAAAATCCACATTTTTTATATATTTTTTATATTGATTTGGTAAAAAAATTTTCTATTAAAATTTTAATATTACAAAAATTTTATTAAATTTCTGAAAAAAATAAAGATTACTATAATTAAATAGTAATACAGATTAAATAGTAATACAATAATAGTAAAGATTTTAAATAATTATATTATATTAGCATGAATAATGTTTATTAATTCATATTACAAGTGAAATTCAAAAGATAAAATCTCAAAATAAAACGATCAATGTATCAAAAACAATAAAATTGTATTGGAAATTTCGTTTTTGATAAAATTAAATTTTTTTTAAATAAAATAATATATTTTTTATAGCATCAATTGATAAATTGACATTTTTATAAAAAATATATCTATTGTGTCCAAAAATCATTAATTTAGAAAATATTTTAATTTGAAATTTGTAAAATTTAATATATGAAAGATAAAGAACACAAAAGCGATATTCTATCATATTCTTCATAGCATAAAAAATAGTAATATTTGATAAAACTTCACTATCTTATATAATATATAAAAGCTGATCAATTAATACTATCAGGAATGCATATATAAACAAAATTTTATATAATAAATAAATTTTTTTTTTGCAAATAACTATTGAAAACTAAAACCATTTCACATGTATTAAAATTCATAGAATGTTTAAACTTGTTATAAATACATATTAAGAACTATTAAAAAAAATTCTGGTTATCAATACGAAATTTGGAGAAAGAATAAAGCAGGATGGATTTTAGATTTAAAATTTTAGCTTTAAATATTTATTAGTTTCTGAAATATTAATAAAAACTTTCAATATTATGATCTTGAAACACTGCATACATAAAAATTATATATATATATAATATTATATAATACTGTAAATATTATTTATACAACAATCTTAAAAATAAATAAATAAAAATAAATATTGGCTTTCTTCATGGAAACTACTTTTAAATTCTATTCAATACTTATTATGAGATTATTTCTATTTGAATACTCAAAATACTCATTTATATATCAAATGTTTTTGTCATCTGGAAATTAGTTTTTTTATTTATTTTTTTTTTTTTTTTGCTTGTACAAAACATTATACTTAACATTTAATACGAATAAATATGTTTAATTTCTTGAGAACGAATGAAATGCTATCGATTACTTGATAATGGACAGTCAACAAATATTATAATCATAACAATAATATGATGGTTAATTTTCATTAGTAATATCTTTATAGACAGAACTCAATAAATTTTTTTATGAGAAAAATTTTTATTAATATCTCAGAAACTAACGAAGTTAAAATATCCAATCTTCATTCTCTCTATTTTATCTCCTAAAAATTTCTCTTCATTTTGATTGAATTATACTGATTGAATATCCCTAAAAAATTTCAAGTTTATTAAAATCTGCGAGAGAATTGTACATCGACAAATTTACTTGTTATATTATATATTGAACATTTCAAAAAATTATGAAATTACTAAAAAAAATTACTATAAATATAAATTAAGAAAATCATATTTAATGTTTAATCATAAAAAAATATGTATGAAATTAAGAAAATTGTATGTGATCAAAATGATAGTTAACAAGATAAAATGAAATTTATTTTATTTTAAAATGAAATTTTCAAAATTCTTACTTTTGCAGCAAAGACATTGTGGAAGAATTAAGGTCACATTATATCCAGATGGCAGATTTTTGCCTTTTATTTGTTGTTCTTCTCGAGGATAAGGATCCAATAAGTCGAAATAAATATTTGTATTTTCGCTATTTTCTACGTAATCACATAATCTTTCAAATGATTCTACTAATTTCGTATCAGAAGTGTCTGTCAAATTATAAATTTCTGTCCAATGCGGATAACAAATCGAAGAAACTTTGCTTAATGTTTTCTTTTTTATTAAGCACGTACATATTTCATCTTTACATGTACAATGACTGCTTTCTTTACTGACATTTCTACAAATTGACAGAATACTGGATTTTGTAGAATTATTGCATGTGATATCTTCTTTTTCTATTATTTCTATTATTTTTTTAATTCTCTAAACATAATTTAATATTTTTTATTATATATATTTATTTGATATTTTTTTATATTTAATATTAACATAAATAATAATATAAATTCATATCATTTATTTTCACAGTACAATTTTTTAGAATATTACTTTATTTTTAATATAAATAAAAATAAATTTAATTAAAATTAATTTTTCATCTTTTTTTAAGTATAATATATTTATTATAATTTTTCAAAAATTAATTTTTTAAAATAAATAAAGAAGCTTTTTTAAAATAAAAAGAAATATAGATATAAATATTATATCTATATTAGCTCTTTGAATTTCTTTATGATATATTAAAAACCAGAAATTCTTAAAAAAAGAGTAAAGATTATTTATAAGAAAATTAGAATAAATGATATTTTTATGTTAAGGGCGTATTTGATATATCAACATTAAATGGTTTCAATGATTTTTAATATTCAATAATAATCCAATGATTTATAATTTATTTTAATATGTTAATATTGTTTCATATTTCAATTCAATATGAATTGATCAATATTGAAATAATATCTTTTAAAATAATCATTATTCGTATTATTGATTGTCTACTGCGATTAAAAAAAAAATCTAACCTAATTAATAATTTTAAAGATATTATTTTATGGATTTATTTTAAATTTAATCCATATTTTTATTAATGCAATTATTAAAGCAAATGTATATATTCTTTAGTAAATGTTTATATTTACTAGAAATATAAACATTATTAGTAAACATTATTAGTAAATTTTTATATTGAATTGATACTTTTAATAAAATTTTAGATAAATATGTACATTGAGTAGTAAGCATATACAAAAGAAATCTTAGGAAAAATTTCGTTTTATATTTCTTTTCGTCTATATACATATGATTGTCAACAATATATCTAAAATCCAAAAATTAGCCAAATCTTTCTTGTATTATGTATTGATAATATTAACTATATTATTAAATTGATATTTTAATTCACACTATTATATTTTATTATATTTAATTCACTTTGAAGTCATAAATTAAACTTGATAATTTATTTTATTTTTTAATATTAATATATAAAATCTTTCGTATTAAAAATTATACAAAATATCTTTTATATTAAAAATTAATTAACATGTTTTAATATATTAACATGATTTAATTTAGAAATATACAGTGTGATTGATTGATCCCATTGATTCCAAAAATATAAAAATATAACTAAATTTATATATATTTATAGTTTTAAAAGTAGTTTATAAATTATTTGATAATAAAAATATTAAATGTGATATAGCTTGATAAATACTCAAATGAAACAAATATTGATTATTTTATTTTTTATCTAATAAACATTATTTATTTTAGCTAAATGCATTTTCTATGCATCACAATTTTTTGTATAACTTTTTATAAAAAATTTAAATGATTATACTTATATACCATTTTTCATTTCATCTTATTAATGTTAATAAAATATATTGATATAATTTATACAGAAATCAGAAATTTATGAATATATGTATATTCAATAATTTTTGTTAATATATTATTTTACATTAAAATGTTTTTTTCGTTTGATGCAATTAAAATTATAAATAATATATAAGAGTAATAATCTTTGATATATTATGCATTAATAATTTTTATTTTAAAAAGTGTATATCTTTAAATGTATTTTAAATAATCGATTATATATTTACCGATTCTTTCTTTGACCATTTATCTATCTTTGTACACGGTGAAGCAAATCCAAGATTTGTATTACGTGGTGAATCAGTGAAATATTTATTATTTTCTTGGAGATTAATTGCTCCACTATATCTTGTTGTATCATATGCTGGTATAGGATTGATATTTTTTGCAATAAAATTTGTTAACATTTCTTTAATTATAATGTTTTTAATGTTGCATTATATTGTATATAGTTCCTTTAATAAAATTATTTTATAGTTAATAATTATTTATTAAAAATTGTGTAATATGAAAACTTATAATTAGAATGTTATTCTATTAAATTTAAATTATTTTATTAAATTTAACATTATCAAAAGATTTGTAAAAATATTTAATTAAATTGTTACCGTTAAAATATTTCTTGTTTTAGTTTTAAAAAAGCAAAACTTAGATAAAATTAAACGATGAAAATTAGAAATTTTACATTGTTTTAAAAATTTGAAATTAATATTTGTTTAAAGTTAAGAAATTTATATATAATATTATAATATCTTATTTATTGATAAAAGTTTCTGTAAAATTTATGGTAAATTTGTTTAATTTATATGTAAGATGACAGAAAATAATGAATTGCTATGAAAAATATAAAATCGATATTATAATGCTACTGTTTCAGAGTAAATATGATTATATATATTTATATTTATAAATATTCATCATTTTCAATTTAATAAAATTATTTATATAATATTACAAAATATTATATACCATTTTTTAATATATTTTTAGAATTTTACATTCTAATGTTTTTTTTTTAAGAAATTTTGTAAATGAAATAATGATTTTTGAAATTTGAAATTTTCATGAAATTTCAAATTTTCTAGAAATTTCAAAACAATTGTTTTATAAATCTTCTTAATTAAATATTCTATCATCATATTATCATATGATACATTGTTGGAAAATATAAAATTCAGATATTCAATATGATTAGTGCTGTTGTAAATATTTTATTCAAAAATATAACTTAAGTTATAAAAATACATTTTTCTTATAAAAAAATTATTTTACTATTATTTTATCATAATATAATTAATATATAGATAATAAATATAAAACTAATGTCATAGTTATAATGCAATTTCGATATTATAATTTATTTAATCGTTCAAGAGTTATTTTATATTTATTTTTATATTTTATTTTCGCATTTCTGCGAAATGCCTAAAGTCGCTATAAATTAATATATGAAAATAGTTTTTTGACCAATTCACTTGTTATTTTATATTCTTGATCTTTCTCAATTGATTTCTCATTTTAATAATAAGATAAAAGCTTTTTTTAAAAAACTGTAATAAAATAATAAAAATTGAGAAAAGTTACAATATTACCAAAATATAACGAAAGAAAAACTATAACTAAAGGAAAATATTAAATATGTTTATAAATATATTATATATATATTTATATGTTTATAAATAATTATTTATGTTTTAAATAATTATTTATGTTTTAAATAATTATTTATGTATAAATGTTTTCTTTTTAACAATATGATCTAATAGTCTAATATAATGAATCTAATATTATAATGCAGTTTCGATCGATTATGAAAGAAATGACATAATTTTTGATATTACTAATCGAATAATATATATATATATATATATATATATATATATATATATATATATATATATATTATTCGATTGTATAATTCGATTATATTATTGATATATCGATCGATATATCTTAATCTAATGTTTCTTTTTTTTATCTTTAATTAAATCTTAAATCTTATCATTAATCTTAAATCATTTGAAATCTTGTATAAGATTTGTTTTTGCTATACAATCATTTACATATTTAATACTAACATATTTAAATTTATATTTATAAATTAATATGTTATAATAATTTTTATTCTAAATTTTAAGATTATAATTTTCCAAAAAGTTGAGATATATAAATAAGCTAATATGTTTGATTCAGTAATTAATATACTTAAAGAAAGATATAACTTAATTATTTGTTTTATTATTAAAATTTATTTGTTTAATTATTTGTTTTAGTAAATTGTTATAAATTATAAAAATAACATAGTTATATAATATAATTCAAATTTCGAATCATTTTCATATTTATATTTTGAATTGATAATACTTATGCAAGAGAGTGATATAAAATAAAATATTAAATTAAATTTTGACTCAAGTCTAGAGATTTATAATAATAATAAGCTTAATAAACTCTCAAACCAAAACCATTGTATTGATTTATTATTATAATAATTATGAAAATAAAACCTTTTTTTAATGAAGTCCTATTGCTTTACGATACTTTAGAATATTTGAAATTTATGAAAATTTTCAAATCAGATTAAAATGAGAGTATCGATTTTTATTTATAAGTGTTTTAATAATTAATTTAGCTAAAATCACTATCTTCATAATTTGAATTTCAACATATGATGAAATTATTTTAGAAAAAAACTTTTAGAAAAATTAAATTTAGAAAAATAAAATTTTTTGTTATAGAATAATATATAGAGAGAATATATTATATATATTATATTATTTATATTGTATATTATATTATTGTTATATTGTTGTTTTATTTAAAATGGAAAACTTTGTTTATTTTATACTTGTTTATTTTGTACTTTTATAGTTTTTGAAAAGCATTTAGGGAATAAAAATAAAAATGTTTTTAATTATATATTTTAGAATGATTTAATATAGAATTTAATATTATCCATTTTATAATAAATATGAATGCGAATTGATACTTTTGTCATTTCAATATCTAATACAATTATATATAAGCAAATAATATATTCAATAATTCAATGTATAACTATAACCGAAAAAATAATTATTTCATAATGTATTGTATAATAGAATCCTTGTATCTATAGAGGATTAGTTTGTGACTAATAACAAACCTTATTATACATTTATATATATACATATATTTTATTTTTTTTATTTATTACATAAAATTATACGTGAAATTTAATTAATTTGTTAATTAGTTTTTTATTAAGTTTTTTTATAATTAGGATTAAATTCAGAATTATTACTTACTATTATTTTTATTATTATTGGTTATATATAATAAATGCAATTTCTTGGATCATAGATAAATGAAATAGCGAGTATTAAATCTGCGAATAGCAAGAAGCTATTAAAAAATATAAAAGATATTTTTAATTTTAGACATCAAAAAAAATACTAAAATTAATGTATAAAAATATTGATTAGGATTTATTTCTTAAATTATACGTGAACAATTTAATTTTGACTGATACCATGTTGTATCACAATATAGCTTACCGAGCATGTGAAAAGTTTAAAGAGAATGCGTTTACAAATTAATTTTAAAAGTATTCCAATATATCTAATTAATTCTAAATTCATTTTAAAAGTAAAAAATAAAAAATATCAAAAATATGTTAAAAGTATCATAAAATAAAAAATACTGATTAATAATAAATACATCTTTTATTCATATACTTAGTTTAAAACCATAATAGATGATAGATCAAATAGACCATAATCTGTTATTTTAATAAATGATTTAAGATATCATGTATAATATAACTTTATATTCATACTTTACATTCATATGATTACATTCATATAATTCATACTTTGAAAAAAGCTATGTAACGTAATTATTTTTTACTTAATTATTATTATAATATAAAACATTTAAACATATTTTTTTGAAATATATTAAAAGTTTATGTGATGAATGATAACTATAATAACTATCTCTAATTCATTTCTTTTAAAATGCGAATGTTATACAGAATATTAATATATTGATGGGATATCATTTAGAGAATTCATCAAATAGAAACAAACACAAAAGTTAATTACAAAAATATTAATTGAAACATCTTTTTTATTAAGTTATAAATGATTAAAATTTGTAAATAAAAATAGATAAAATTTGTAGATAAAAATAGAGTGAGACAGTTCGATTTCTGTTACATTTCACTGTTTTCATTTCGCTTCGCTAATTCAATTGCTTAAAATAAATAAATTTTAACTAACATTTTTGTATATTAACTTTTATGTTGTCTTAAGCTTTAAAATTTAAATGATGTCCCATAAACATATTAACACTATAATTTTAATAATTCCTGTAATGTTTTTTTATATTTTTTTTTTATGAAAATATGCTTAAAAATAATATTTGTAATGTTTACGAATTTTTATAATATGTCTAATATAAAAAAATGTTTATGATGTATTAATATTATCTTTATTCATTGTCGATTTCGTCATACATTACTTTGCATGCTGCTGTTAAAACATTAGTTTTGAAAAATGTAGATGATGCTTTCAAATTATGAAGATAATGAAAGAAACGATTTCCTCTTTTATTATTATTATTAGCTCTCATTTCTTCGGCTCTACATATTGTTCTCACAGATGGAAGATAATCTGTAGCTATAATTTGACGATCGAGCAATAATGATGTCGTATGAGATAAGGCTATATTCAGTCCTTTACTTAATTGTTTTCTTAACATAATATTATTTTGATACTGCATTTCATTGTAGCCAAACAATTGATCTTTGTTTATAATTTGATTACCTATCCATTCAGCTATTTCTGAACAAATATTATTGGAAGCTGAATATTGAGCACTATTTTCAACTAAAGACAAATTGGGATGCATTTTTATTTGCTCTAAATTTAATGCAGAATCTTCTATATCAATTAAAGATGACAATAAAGCTACATTATCTAATTTTTTTGTTATATCAAGTAACATAATTTTATCAGCAATCGTTTTTTCGTTATTTATTATTTTTTCTTTTTTTCTTTTATAATTATTTTCTTTAATTACTGGCTTATATATGTAATATTTCATCTTTCGCCAAAATGAATCTTTAAAATTTATAGTTTGTTTTAATATTTGTGGTGGACCAGATAATAATATATATTGTAATTGTAATATAGCTTTTCGTAAATCTCCATACTGCAATAATTCCTAAAAGAAAAGAAATATTTGCGTTTTTTATAATATTTATCATATGATATTAAACTATGTTATATTAGATTTTTACTAAATTTTTAAAAAAATCTTTAAAAAAGATATTTAAAACAATATTTAATTTTGGATAAATTTTTCTCAATTAATTTAATTGCATAACTTACCGCTATACAATTAGGAGGAAGCCTATAACCGCTTTCTGCCAATGAAATTAATTCTAGTAAAATAGAAACTCTATCATTAAAAGCATCTTTAAAATAAATCCTATTTTGTTGAGGTGCCATTTTATTCAAATGTGGACAAATGTCTCTACATGTCATAACAATTGGTCGTTTCGAATTTGATACTAATTGATATGTAGCAGAAATAAATCCTTCATCTTCTTCAAATATAATATCAACATCATCTATAAGAATGAGTGAATTTTGTGGTATTTTTGAGGAAATTATTCCATCTGAAACTGAATTGCAGAAAATAGATGTTCTTTCATCTTTTTTAATTCGATGCGATTTAGTTGCTTCTTCTAATTCTTTTAAAAGTCTTTTTCCAGTTCTTTTAGATGATGCATTCAATTCTAATACACTAAAGATACAAAAAAAGTTTCTTTCCATTATTAGAAAATATATAAGATTGCATTAATTAAATCTTTTAGTACTTACGTATAACCGAATTCATTTGCTACTGCATAAACACTTGCAGTTTTACCACATCCATATGGTCCCAATAATATGGCTATTTGATTATTTTCATTAATTTTTGATCGACTATTATCAGACGAATAAAATTCATCTCCACTGCTGACATCTTCATTTATAAAAGTTGCTTTCCATCCAAGTAACCATTCCTTCAATTTTATTATTGCTTCTTCATTTCCAACTACTTCACAAGAACTTTTTGGTCTATATTTATAAGTCCAATTATAACATTCAAATTGATCTACTTTTGTTTTATATCCTATTGTCCCTTTATTCTCTAATTGTTTATTTTTTCTAGTTCTTATTGTAGCTGATACTGATATCTTGGGCTTTTCCTTAACAATATGTGAAATAACATTCCACATATCTTTTACATTTGTACAATGTTTTTCTAAATCTGTTAAGGCTTCTTGAACCTTTGGTTTATTAATTCTTTCTAATGTTTTTAATTCCTTTTTGGAAAAATCTACGATATGCTTAAAGTGATTTAAATTTATATTTGGAATGTAATTCCTATGAACTTTCTGTGGAATATGAAAAATGTTATTTTCATTCCATAATACATTGCTTGATTGTGTAATATGACTTATAAGAGGAAATGGTAATACACCTTGAACATTTATTTTTTTGTTTGCATTTTTATTATTGTTATCAATTACATCTGATTGTAAAAACAACTGGCGAGCTGCTATTATTTCTGGATCTCGTTTTTTTCGTTTTGTAAATAAAGGAGCTAATTTATCAGATGTTTTTCTCTTTAAATTGTTATTACTAATAATTTTGTAATTATTATCATGATTTTGTTCATTTTCCATAGCATTTTCTAAATTAGAATTATGATATTTGTATAAATTTTTGTCTTTTGTCAATGTCCATTCATGTTTATCAAAGTTAATTAATTTCTGTTTATTTTCATTATGGCTATTATTAAAACATTTATTGTTCGCTATATAATTGTACTTTGGATTTTTCAATTGATCACATATTTTTACTTTCAATTTCGTATGTACATTTGTTTGCTTTAATATTTCTTTATCTTTTTCTTTCAATGAATTTTCCGAATTTATATTTTTACTTGATTTAAAATTCTTATGTTTTTCTTTATTTAATACAATTCTCGTCTTTGGTGAAAATAATTCTTCATCACTGCTTCCATCTGCTTGAAAAAAAATAATTGGTAAAACAAATGTAGTTAATAAATATATATAAAATAAAATATTAGAAAAAAAAAAAAAGTCAGCGATCAAAGTGTAAAAACTCATTGCCATCAACCAAAATATTTATAGAATTTGGGAGACTTATATATAATTTTTTTCATCATATGTATTTTTTCAGATCTTTTATATATTATATTTTTAAGAATTAAAATTAATATCTTTATTACTTTTAAGGTACCTGATATAATATTTTCATTTTTATGAGTTTGAAGTTTGATTCTTAATGACCATCTATGTTTATTATGTTGTTGTTCAACATTTTGATTTTTTTCCTTATTATTCGATACATCAATGTTTTCAGATTCAATAACTTGAATATCATCTATTTCAGAAAATTCTGGTTTACTTTTTTTACTTGATAATATTTCATTATTTAACTTTGATTTATATAATCCATGTCTAACATTGTTTTCTATATGTACATCAGCTTTTACTACAAGAGTAGATATATTTGCCATATTTGTATGTACTAAATTAACGGGAATTTTGCTATATGAAAATAAAAATAAATCTTAAAAATAATTCATAGTTCATAATTAAATATAAATTGTTAATTTTTTACCTGAAATAATTTAATAAATTACTAGTTTGTTGTTTATGATTTAAAATAGTTGTATTTGTATTATTATCCTTTTTCTCTTCTCTTTTTAGTTTTATATGATTTTGTGTTATTCTTTCTATCTTTTCACTTTCTTTTATATCGACAATCTTCCTTTTAAAATATTTTTTATCATTGCTATTATTTGTATTTATATTTTTATTGATATTTGTTTTATCATTTGATTCTTTTTTATATTTTTTGTTACTGGTTAAACAAGTTTTAAAATTTCTTTCTTTTCTTTTTTTTTCATTTTTGATATTGTAATTATTTGTTTGCAAATCTATATCACATAAAGTATGATTTATTGTTTCATTGTGTTCAAAATGGCTTTGAAAATTTTCAGAAAGAGAACACTTTTTGGATGTTTCATATAAATTTTTTTTTTCATTATTTAACTTAGAAAATGGACTAGGTGTTTTATCAATCATATCACTGCTACTTTCTATAATGTCACATATTCTTTCTTTTGATTTTGTTCGAGATATTTTAATTTTTACACGATTGCGCTTTTTTTTTGAATTTTTATATTTCGTTTCTTCTTTTGTATCATCATTAGAATATATCGATATATTATTATTGGATTGTACAGTATTCTCAAAATACTGTGTAATATTTTTCATCCTTCATTACTACATGAGACTTTAAAAATGTTAAAATGGCGATAAAAGTATAATTGATATAGATAATATTTATTATTTACTCATAGTAGAATGAGAATTTTGGCGCCACAATACATGTGTAAATATATTAAGATTGCTATGAATTTCATTAGAGTGTTATTGCTATTTATTCTAGGGTTTTTTCAGATATATTAAAATTTAATATTCCAAGTTAGTTATTTTTGTTTCTTTTTTATTTTTATATTCTTGAAAGTTTGAAATAAATTTTTATATATATATATTTTAAGCTTAAACTTTACTTATATATTTAAAATTTTTGAATATTTTTTATAGATTTTTTTTCATATATAAATTTCAAAAATAACGATCTTAATTAAATTTTTAATTAAAAAATTATAATTTTTTGAACTTCTTTTTATATTTTTTATAGATTTTAATATATAAAATCAAAAATTGGTTATCTTTATCAATAATTATCGAAATTTGTTAATTTAAAAATTATACGTATATCATATAAATTTTCACTCTTAGTATTTTTTAGTTGTATAATGCCATTTTGAATTTTTATCCGATACTCTAATCACATTGGAAGATAATAATGTGCATCAAATTCAAATTGCTTTTTGGTTAAAGAATACAAATTGTATCATAATCGAAGTCTAATATTTTTTAATTTCCTTATCAAAATTTATAGAATAATAAAAAAAACTCAAAATTTTTAATATTCAAAATTAATATGTTCAATTATTCAATTTCTAATTTTATATAAGATTTTCTTATTTTTTAAAATATTAAATATATAATATATGTATAATAAGTAAATATGTATAATAAAATGATTGCTAGTAAGTATTATCATACTGTATATTTTCATTTTATATGTTTCCAATACTAAATATAAATGATAAATTGAAAAAATAAGAAATATGGTTATATGTAACGGATATATAGAATAATTCAAAAATTTTTTATGAAAATTTTTATTCTTTTTATTATTTATTATATAAATTATTAAGTTTTTTAATATTACATTTTAATACTTTAATATCCATAATTCTATACTTTTCGAATTAATAAAATGTCAATTTAATAGTTATGTAATCAGTTTTAAAAACAAAAAATATATAAATTTATGTTGATTACTTGATATATAGCGATTATCAATATGCATGAACGTAAAAATGTGTGATTTTAATTTAAATTAAATTTAATACTATTGTATTAACTCTGTTCTTAAAGAAATTATTGTTTGATTTTTTAACTCATCAAATATTGAAATATTCTATTCGTTTTTTAATAATTAAATTAATTTTTAGAAATACTTTAGAAAAATATATAATACTTTAGAAAATATATATAATACTTTAGAAAAAGAAAAAGAAAAAACTTGTAATTTAAATTTAATAAAATTATACTGAACTTTAATAATATTTATATTTTTATTTATATTTATATAATATTTTTTTGAAAAGATATATACGATTAGATATATTAAGATTTTCAATTGAATTTTTATATATGATATGTTTTTGTTATAATAAGTTTTAATAAATCAATTTTTTAATAACATTTTTGATTGATAATTCATATTATTTTTAATTACAATTTCTTTAAAATGAATATTTTGTTATTATGAATTTGTATTAATTAAACACATTAAACATATAATTTGCGTAATATTATTATAATATTATTTGTATATAATATAATAAAACATTGATATATATATATATATATATATATATATATATTAATAACATTATAATTTGATATTTAATCAATTAGTCAATATAATTGTTTTCTATAAAAATTTTTGATAGCCATTTAAGTCGAACCAAATACAGGCGAATACACCAAAATATCGATATTTTCTAATCAATAAAAATAAAAAATTAATGGCATTTGTCATTTTGATTTGATTTCTATATTTTCACTTCTAACTTCTATTAATAACTCATTGAATAATATATCACTTTAAAATGTGGAATGTTTATTTATTTTGTGTTATTTTTCTAATTTTGTTTATAATTAGAAAATTATATTTAAATGTATATAGGGTACATAAAAATGTTTGTATTATTGTTTTTGGAGATTTGGGCAGGAGTCCTAGAATGCAATATCATGCATTATCATTTGCAAAAGAAGGTTTTACAGTAGATATTATAGGTTATCCTGGTTCGATACCTTTAAAAGAAATAAGAGAAAATTCTTATATACATATTTATTATCTTTATCCCTTTCCAAAAATAGAAAATAGTACGTGTTTAATATTACTAATATTATGAGAATTTTATAATTTATCTTATTTAAAACATAATGTAAATATTTATATATTTCATGTATGAATTGAAAATTGTAAATTACAAATTATTTAAAATAATAATAACTCTTAAAAATCTTTATTTGAAAAAAGATTATGTTATATAATTAATTATATAATAAATTTGAATATTTTTGAAAAAAATAATTTTTTTTTAATATTTCAGAATTATCTCCTTTATCTTATTATGTGATAAAAACAATATGGCAAACATTTAATCTTTTATGGCTTTTATTTACTAAAAAATTATCAAATTATATATTGGTACAAAATCCACCTTCAATACCAACAATTCCCATTTGTTGGTTTTATTCTATTATTATTGGTTCACAATTTATTATTGATTGGCATAATTATGGATATACTCTCATGGCATTAAATTTAAAAGATGACCATTTACTTGTAAGATTTGCAAAAGCAATTGAAATGTATTTTGGTTCTAAAGCAAATTATAATTTCTGTGTATCTCAAACAATGAAAGAAGATTTACAACTAAAATGGAAAATTATGTGAGTATATATCTATAATTATATTTTTTTGAATTTATAATTCATTACTTTTCTTTTATTTAGTGCAGAGGTATTATATGATCGTCCAAGTAATGAATTTCAACCTATATCACTAAAAGAAAAACATGAATTTTTATTAAAATTAAGTTACAAATATGATATATTCAAAGGATCAAAAGAAAATTCAACTATATTTACAGAATGTATTAAAAATGAAATAAAACTATCTTGTAAAAGACCAGGTTTCATAGTATCAAGTACAAGTTGGACAGAAGATGAAGATTTTTCAATATTATTAAATGCATTACAAGGTATGTTATATTCTAATGTAGGTATATATGTTATTTATTTATTTTTAAATTATTTATTATATTTTAAATCTTTTATATTATAGAATATGAAAATTCAGTTGTACAAGATTTGTACAATTTGCCTGATTTAATTTGTATAATAACTGGTAAAGGTCCTTTAAAAAATTTTTATACAGCTATTATAAAATTAAAGAATTGGAAACATGTTACAATAATAACACCTTGGCTTGAAAATGAAGATTATCCAAAAATGTTAGGTATTAAAATATAATTAAATTTTGTATTTATTTTCATATATATTTGTGCATAAAAGATATAATTCATGTTTATAGCTAGTGCAGATTTAGGTATTTGTCTTCATATATCATCTAGTGGATTAGACTTACCTATGAAAGTTATTGATATGTTTGGTTGTGAATTACCAGTTTGTGCATATAATTTTCAATGGTAAGTAATATATATTTTATAAATAATTTAGTATGATATATATATAAAAAAAAATATATATATAAATTTTAATTTACATGCAGATTTAATAAAATTTAAAATATATCAAATTTGATTATTTGATATCCATTTATTTTTTTATCTTGTCTCTTATATATAATATATATAATATAATATAATATAATATTTTAATAATATCTTAATTTTTATTAATATTAATATTATTTTCAATATTTTTTAATAAAAATAAATTTATTTTTATATTATTTTTGTTTAAATTTATAATATATTCCAAAAAAAATATAAATATTTATATTTTATTATCAAATTTTTTATATAGTGTTTCTATTTTTCAGTTTATCAGAACTTGTTAGACATAATGAAAATGGCATGATCTTTTTAAATGACAAAGAATTAGCAAAACAATTAATATCATGGTTTGAAAACTTTCCTAATAATCAATGTAAATTAGATAAGAAATTTCGAGAAGAATTGCACAAATTTCAAAAAAATCGATGGCACGGTAATTGGATTTCTATTGTTTTACCTTATTTTAATCAACAATTTATGGCTTGTTAATTTTTTTGTTTCATACATTTTCGAATTTTTGTAATATATTTTTATTTATATAATTTTTAATTTTTCTATATCTTTAAAAATTTAACCTAACCTATATCCTTCTCTTTATTTTTATAGAAATTTTTTATATATAATAAATCATTTTATTAACTTAAAAAATAAACTCTAAAAAATTTTAACTATTTTAAAAATAAAATATTATTTAATTAAATTTGAATTAAATATTGTTAAAATCAATTATAATACTATTAAATTAATACTATTAATTATAGTAGTAAATTATAATACTAATTATTAATTATGTATAATCAAATATTAAAAATTTATTTTCTAATAAAATAAATTTTAAATATATATATATTTAAAAACTTGGATAACGTATATTTATGTATTATATTAATATATTTATATTAATTAATTTATATTAATATTAATATATATTAATATATATTAATATATTATATATATTATATATATTATATATATTATAATATTTTAATTAAGTTAATTTGAATATGATTTTAGATAAATAAGCAAGTTACCAGTAATGTTTTATTAAAAATAACTTGTCAAAATATTTTTTAATAGTTATAAAAATTATAGCTAATTTTCTATATAAATTCTTTTTTATTATTATAAAATTATTGCATTATATATATAAAAGTAAAATCAAAAGATATAAAATTGCAAAAATTATAATATATATGAAGTATATATTATTATATATTTATATGTTTTTTTTATTCTATTCATTATAAATTGCATAATGAATATATATATATACATATATATAACAGACAAATCAATATATATTTATTTAAATTTTTTATTCATAAAGATAACTTATACATTTCATTGTATGAAAAGTATATGAAATTTAATTATTTGTAATTATTCACAAATTTAAAAAATAAAAATAATTGGTTATTATATTTAAAAAGAATGATTTTGAATTAGGTACAAAATATTTAAACTAAAAGACGTTCAATTTCTTGTTGTATGGCTTGAATCTGTGGTTTTAATTGAGAACCTTCATTAACTGTCACAGAACAAGCAACAACAGGTCTAGATACACCACAAGCACGACCTAAAGCTTGTTTACTTCTAACAAATACATATGGAACATTCTTATCTTCACATAATAATGGCAAATGTAATAAAATTTCTAAAGGTTCTGCATCTGCAGCCATTACAATAAATTCTGATAGACCACGATTTAATGTTTTTGTTGCTTCATTAGCTCCTTTTCTTAATTGTTTATAATTCATTGCTTGTTGTACTAAATTTAAAATTTTAGCAGTTAATGTAGCATCTGCTAAAGGATATGCTTTAGGATTAACTTCATCTCCCTAGAAAAAAAAGTATAAAAAAATAAACAATAATATCATTATAAATATTTTAATATAATATCAATTTATAAAGAAATATAATATAATATATATAATATATAAAGAAGTAACTAAAATTATTGCTATTTATAATTATATTTTATACTAATTAAAATGATCAAGTAACCACGTGTATAAAACTTAACCTATAAGATTATACTATATAAAAAAATAAATAATTATAAGAAATTATAAGAAAGAATAATTTACCATTTTTGTTAATGAAATTGTATCTTTAAGTATTCTTTTGTTAAAAATAATAATTTTTAAAAATTAAATACTCCTCTCTGCGTTTTTATATAAAAACCGCTTCACCGAGGACAAAACGTTCAAAATCACCTCACTAATAAAACACAATACTATTATTCTTACTCAACTTTCCGCAAGTTTCAAATATACAAGGTGTCTTATTTATATCGATTTTTGTATTTTGGAACTTATTGATATTGATTTTAAAATATTTCGCTTAGAAGTTAAACATTTTTATAGATATATATATCTAATCATATATATGTACATATAAAGATTAATTTATATGTTTAGATATTTTTATTTTATATATTTAGATATTTTTATTTTTAACTAGATTAATATAAATAATATAGTTCATTATTCTTCATAAAAAGAGTTGTTATTTATATTAAAAGTTATTATGTTTATCATATTTATATATATTTATATATATTATATATATATATATTAAAAGTTATTATGTTTATCAAAATTTATATATATTTATAATATATTTATTTTTTTTTTTAAAGTTCAACATATCTTTTATATATAAATATATTAAATATTTATTCAATTTCTTTGGTTGATTTCGATCTTATTAAGTATTTTTTTAGATAAATTTACATATTATTCTTAAATTTCATATCTTATATCATTTTAAATACAAATAATAAATAAGCATATGATATTCTTCTTAATAAATGATCATTTTTTATTTTTAAATGTTTTGGTAAAAATAAAATAATATCAAATTTTTATTTTTAGTGTTAAAAATTCAAAATGTTCATCTTTATCTATAATATTAATTTAATAATTCGAAAATTTTTTTATATACGATATAATAATAATGATTATAATAATTTTTGAGTTTGAATGTTTTATTTTTAAATGAAATTAAAATATCTTTTACATTAATAGCTTTTTATATAGATAATTGTATTTAAATAAATAAATAATTTTAAAAAATATTATTAAAAAGTTAATATACTAAAAAAAGATTCTATTAAGAAATAACGATATATTTATAAAATGATCACAAATTATGTATTGTTTACATCTTATCAAATTTTATCTAAAATATTTCCAATTTTATAAAGAGTTATAAAGATTAGTTACAAAAAATAATTTTAAAGATACTTGAGATTGATATAAATAAAACATATATGTCTTTTTTAATGAGTCGAATAAAAAAAAAGTAAACAAATCACATTTTGTGATAAATATTACGACTACTAATAATTAATAGTTATTAATAAATGATGAATAATTCAGTGATAACTTTATTCTATTTAAATTTTATCATTAAATTTGATTAATATCAATAAATATATTTAATTTAATATATTTGAATTTAGCAGATATATTTGGCTATTTTATATAATATGAGTTCTAAATATTAATTTAGAAAAACTAACTTAACTTAGAAATATTAACTTAAATATTAATTTAGAAAAATAGTTTTTTATTTTCAAAATTATTTTATTTTCCCTAGATTTTGATCACGTGATTTTATTTTTTTTTATTCATTGGACAGAATATGAAAAAAAAATGACAATTTTTAATGAATATATATATATAAATTTCGTTTTCATTCATTTATTTAAAATGAATTATTATGCATAAATTATGAATGTTAAAATGTGTCAATTTTAAATATGTCAAAGTATGCAAATAAAATACATATATAAATGATTTAATTCAAAATAATAGTTATGAAAAATTCGATTAATTTTCTTCAGTTAATACTTACAAATTTCAAAAAAGTAACATTTATAATAAATAATAATATTTTAAAACAATTATGTCGAAAAATCTTAAAATTATATAAACAAAAATTCGATGTGAATAAAAATGATGGAACAGATGAAAGTGCCAATATTTTTACATATATTATGTAAAAATATAAAAAGTTATATATATATTTTGCACATATTTAATATATATATACATACATGAAAAGAAATCCCGCGGAAAAAATATAGATTTGATTGGTCAAAGTGTGAGAAAAGTAACAATTCTCATATACATTTTTTGGCACACTATTTTTTATTTGTCTATATGGACATGCATATTAATATAATAATCCAATTGTCAAAGATAAGCAATAAAATCTATTGAAAGATGACATGCATCTTAATCTCATATAATTTAATAAGTGAAATTTATTGTCTTTATACAATATAATATATTTATACAATATACAATAGAGTCTTTTTATTTACAATTTTGAATTATTTAAAGAAAATCTTCTATTATATAGTATGTGATACTAGGGAGGTAAAAAAGGGATTCTCCAAAAGCATCAAAGATATAAACTGCCTTAACGAAAGACTCTTTGGCTCTTTTGCCATTTTGCGAGATTTCTTTCGAGCAATGAAATATATATATATGTTAATGTTAGTATGTAGTACGTATATATATATATATATATATATAAATAATTCCAAAAATGTTGGAACATACATAAATTGGAGATTTCCAAGGTAAATTTTCAAGGAATATTTTTTTTTGCAAAAACTTTTGTTATGGCTTTTAACGAATTATTAACAAAAAATATTGATCAATCACGGAGCGTGTAGCTAATTGAATCGTAATAGTAGTAGTTGGCTATGTACTGTTGATTGAGCACGAACAAATCCAGGTAATATATTTCAAAAAAAGTATGTTGAATTGTATTTATTCATTTATTCATTGCTCGTGATATTCGATATAATATATATAATTCAATATAATTTTTTATCAATAACAGAATATTTATTATATTTAATTCAACACATTTTCTTTGAAATATGTTACTTGTGCTTGTTCGTGCTCGATCAGCAGCATATAACCAATACTACTGTCGCGATTCGACTAAACTACATGTTCTGTGATTAGCTAATGTTTTTTGTTAATAATTCGTTAATAAAATCATTACAAAAGTTTTTATAAAAGAAAATTGAAATTATTTCGGAAATCTCCAATTTATGGATATTCTAACATTTTTGAAACATATATATATATATATATATATATATATATATATATATATATTTCATACATTGATAGTTTATATATTGCATAAATTTTCATATAATAATAATAATAATCATTTTTATATGCATGATATCTATTGTGTGCAGATATGATCTAATTTTTCATTTTGATATAGAATAAATAAATAGAATTCCATAGAGAATTAATTTGAATTCATTTGAATTCAATTATATAAGTGGAATGATGACATTCATAGTGATAAGGAACACATACTTTCCTTGCTTCCGTCATATAATTTTATTAGTAGATGTGAGACTTTCGATGAATACGTGTATCTTTTTGTATTAGATTGTATTTTTTCCAAGGGTTTCCTTTTCATGCTGCACTTGAATCTAGTATATCTGAAGTGTATTAGTGATAACGAAAATAAAAAATAACAATTTCAATTTAATCTAATAGAAATCTAATAGAAAGTCTCATTTTAGTATCGTTTATAGTTTAGTTAGTTTATAGCACGCTGGTGTTATTTATTTTCAGAAATCAGAATCATCTATCATCTATAATGTTAATACTATTGGTATTAAAATTTATTACTTCAATATATATCGCAATGCGATCTGTTTCAGGAATTTCTATTCCTTCAATTGAAGATAATACATTTCTGAATAACCGACCAATAATTGGCAAGTATTTATTTATGTATTTCATAAATAATTTAAATATTCTAATTTTATATGTAAGAAAAGAATATGATAATAATGGAGGATTCCCGTAATTTTATAAAATATTTATTTATTGTTATGAAATAATAGTCTATGTCAGTGGTTCTTAATTTGTGGTTTGCGAATCTTTAAATAGTGGTAAAGTCTTGAGTTATACAAATGAATAACTAAGAGGAATTAATATACAATATTTATTGCTTTATTTATTTAAAATAAATTTTTTCTTTCAAAATTTGAATTGTGAATATTTTAAAAGTTAATTGACAAGATTTAACCAATAATTCTTGATATGATTTTAAGCAACTTTTTTCTTTACAAAAATTTTCATTTTGGCTTAATTAATTAGTTATTAATTAAACATATTGCACATTTATAAAATACATAGATTTATATTGTGATGATATATATATATATATATATATATATATATATATATATATATACGTCGTAATATTAATATATATGTTACTGTGATAATGAATCATCAGAATTGAACAAAGTTAAAAAGTTGAGTCTGGCACGGTACAATAAATTTATGCGCTCTGTAAATAGCCAATTTTAATTACTAATAGAAACTTTGTTTCTATCTTGATTAATTTTTGAAATTAACTCTATATATTTAATGAATATTAAATTTTAATTTCTAGTGATCTACAATAACGAAAAATTATTTAAAGGATGTCCATGATAAAGAAAAGTTTAAGAATCACTGATCTAATATGAATTTATGTTTGTAAAACAATTGTTTTTAATTTTTAATTAGCTTTTTTCTTATTTTTAAATTGTACACATTTACTTAGTAGAATTTAAAATCAAAATTTTCAAATGATAAATTCCAAATATTCTATATTTTATAATTATTTTTATAATTATTTTAGTATTTTATTATAATACAATTTAATTTTAATAGTCATACATAGACAATAGTATTATTTTTTTGTATCAAAATTTTATAAATTAACATTTAAATATTACAATTGCATTGTTTGCGTTTTATATTAGAAAAGGATTTACAATTGAGTAAATAATAAGTTTGGATATGTTTTATTTTTAATATATTGTTTAAATATCTATTTTAAAAAATTTCATTTTTATCATAAGTATGCTGTCAAATATCAAATATTTCTGAAATTTTTTTATTATTAGTTCTATAAAAGATCTTATATAATCTATTTTCTTCATAATTAGCAAAATACAAAATTTTAATACAAATAAAAATCTACAGCATGACTTTTGAAACAAATTCGTTATGGAACAAAAATTTTTTAAATTAATAGGAATTTATTGTTAGAATATTTAATAATTTAATAATACGACAATAGACAAAAATAAAAAATTTTTTTATTATTGTAAATGTCTAATTTTTCAATCTTGCTGATTTTTTCTACTTACATTTAATTATTTAAAAAGCATATTTATTGATATAGAATAGATTTTATCGTGAATGATAAAATTTATTATCAAATCTATCAGGAAAAAATAAGTTAAAAATAATATCTATAATATTATAGATTTTAAAAATCTAATTTTTATTAATACTAGAATAATATATTTTTTTTTTGGATTATAAATTGAAAAAAATAATTAATTTATTATACTAATATTTTTCTATTCATTAGATAAATTTTTGCGTGTATTTATAACAAATTAACATTATTAAATAATACACTTTTTCTATTTGATTATTTCTTCAAAAGAATTATATGTGAAATGCAAACATGAAATAAAATTCTTTAAAAATTTTTTATATACAATCTTTCGAATTATTAATTATCGAAGAGAGTTAATAAAAATTAAATCAAGAAAAAAGAAAATTGTTAGTGAAATATGATAAAATTGCTAGATGTCACTCAAACTAATTATAAGATTTGCATTTTATATTATTTTATATTGTATTTTATTTTATAAAAATGCTATCAAAAATTTTCTTGCTTCTAGTATGAAGATGCCTTTTCAATTCGATATTGTACAGCCATAAAATTCTCTTTTAACATGCCGACATGTTACATGTCGAAAAAACATATCATTTATATAAATATCACATCTTCAAAATTACTGAAAAGATTTCTACATCAAATAAATTATTACAGTGATTTAATAATAAGTAGTTTCTCATTATACATTATATTATTTTACATTATACATTGTATTACTTTATAAAAATTTAATTAGTATTTATTTGATTAAAAATTATAGAAATATAATGGAACATAAAGAAAGTTGAATAAAAAAAAGTCCAAGAGAAAGATTTATTATGATATCTATATGTTCCATGCCGCAATGTGGTGCTAATAATGGTTATTCGAAATATAAAATATTCGAAATAATTAATTATTAAGATAATTTTATTCGAAATTTTAATTAGTTAATTTTTTAAAAATATGTCTAGTTTTGATAGGTAGTACATATATATACATAAATACACAATTCGTACACGTGGATTGTCAATACAACTAATACTGATAAGAAGTTTCTCGAAATGGGATATTTTTTTTTTACTGATACGCGATGCTATATTTATCTAAAGATGTTTGGTATATAAAAATATCTATTTTTATGAATATATCATTAGAATCATTGAAATCAATTAGATTCGTATTTTTTCTAAAAAATTTCTTGTAAAGCATACTTATCATTAATTTTTACATGACATACTCCTGAACAAAATGATAGTATATGGCAAATTTTATGATTTTTAATATTTCTCGAAATTAATGCAATATATACGCTTATATATTTTTTTCTTAATAATATAGGAAAAGCCTTAATAATCGAAATTAATATTTTTATTTATAAATTTAATTCGTTTATATGAAAAATAATTAGACAGAACGATAATGTAAGAAAAAAATAAATAAGATCTTGTTATTTAAAAATAAAAAAATTTCTTACGTATATTATTAATTTGTTCGTATGTAAATCTGAATTTAGTCATAAAAATTGCTTATCTTTAGGAAATAAATGAATAAAAAATATCGATTTTTGTTATATTTAAAGTAAAATAGTAATTTTTCTCAATATTTTTGTCAATTGTATTGTATATTATTATTCATTGCTAAAATTAAATTTGATTTATTATTATAAGATTTTTTTTACCATAGATATATCATTTTAAAATTTTTTTTTTTAAATTTCATTTTTTTTTATTAAAGTTTCTGCTTGCATTTGTATGTATAAATATAAGCAATATTATTATATATTTTTTATTATTGCTATTATCATTTTATATTGGAAAATCAGTGTTTCTATTTGAAGTATTTATCTTATTTATTGTATAATTTCAAATATAATTTTCTATGAATAAATATTCAGAAATTATCATTAACATTAGAATAGAAAGATTTTCAGTTGGAATTAAATTCAGTAAAAAGACAGTTAATATTATGAAAAAAAATTATCAAAAGAATATATTTTTAATTTCTATAAATGCTATTTTTCTTTTAGAAGAATTTCTTTCCATTTTTCAATTTTTGATTAAATTTCATTTTTTATTACCAATGAAATAAATAAGAATTTGAAAAAATTTCATAAAATATTATTTATATATGTAAATAATATTTTTTCTATTAAAATTAATAATTTTCTATTAAACAATAAAATATAATTTGAATCATATTTGATAAATTTGTATTGTCTTTTCATTCATATTTTTTAAATTTGAAACATATTAAGAATTTCTAATTATTTTAAATAATATTTTTCATAATAGAACGATTAGTTTTAATTTTCAAATTATATCCAAAAATGTTTTTCACATATTTAATTTTTGATATATGAAACATATGGAAAATGCATAGCTAAAGTATGTTTTATGTTAGTCTTCATATATCATAATTTTCTCTTTTATAATTTTGTATGAAACAAAACTGATGTTCTTGTATCGGTTTTAAGAATTATTATGCTTTTTGCTGCTTAGGCTACTTTTTATTAGTTCATTTAGAAAAATTTGCTTACATTTATGAATATTTTCACCGTTTTTTTTAATTATCAAACAAAAATATAAAACCGATAACACAATTTTTTTATTTTTTTTTATTCTAACTATAAAAGTTTATTCTTTTCGTCTAATTTTCGAAAAATTATTTTTTAAGTTTTCAAATAGCTATAGACAATCATTCTCATATAGTTATCTATTTCTATATGGAATTGATAAGATTGATTTTACATTAATGTATAACAATTTTTAAATGATGATATTATTTTAATTATATTTCTTTTTTCTCATTGCGAATAGTTTCTTTATATTGTCATGTTATATTTTAAGAATACATAAAGATGAAATTATATCTATCGTACGATATTTAAATATAAAATAGATTTAAAAATTTACATAAATTTATTTAAAGATATTTATATGAATTTTTTCTAAACTGTGTTCAAAAAGGTATTCTATCGCAAGAAATAAGCTACGATTTGAATAAAATATATCCAGGAAAATATGATAGTTATATTGCTGCATCATATGTAAAATTTATTGAAGGAGCTGGTGCGAGAGTTGTTCCAATTTGGTAAGTGTAATATTTTTGATATTTTATATTCTTGTATTTATTTTAATATTTAAATATTTATTATTTTTAATTTTTTAATTTTATTTTTTTATTTATTTTTACAATAATAAGATTTAATAACTAATAAAATTTATTAATAAGATTAATAACTAAAACTAAATATAAGATTATTATAATGATAATATATAATATAATTATATATTATGATTAGTAAATCAAATTATAACTGTTAATATTATCATCAATAATATTAATATAAAGAATTTATAAAATAAATAATTGTATCGAAGTGAATAGCTAATTAACTTAATTAAGTTAGTTTATTTCCATATATATATAAGAAATAATTAATTAATAATAACTTAAATAATTTTTGATCATAAATATCTGATACTAAATTTTTAATATAAATTATATTAATATATAAATTAAATAACTAATGAATACATGATATCAAAGTTATATTATTTTATTTATTAATTTATACGAATTAAAAATAAATATTTATTAGAATTTTTTTATTAACTTTTCTTTTACTAAATATTTTATATATGAAACTGTACATTAAGAAACATATTATTTATATTGATACAAAATTGTTGCAAAATTTATTTAAAATTAATATCTTTTATTGCTTTTTCTTAGGATCGGAAAGAATAAGTCGTACTACGAAGAACTTTTAAGTAAAATAAATGGGTGAGAAAAAAAATGTATTTTTATATTTTGTTAAATATATATAAAAATATATATAGGGTATATTTCGAGAATATCCATTCGAATATCATACTATTGATGATACAAAAATATATCTGAAATAAAAGTTTAATTTTTTCAGAGACTATATAATTTGGCTTAATTAATTTTTTGTAAATAGATATAGAAAATGTAACAATTTTATTTTTTGATTGAATTATATATTTTTTATTATATTTCTTATAAAAAGGTCTTTATGGAATAAAATTATTAATTTAGAAGATTTTGATTTGAATATTACGTATTTTTTTAAAGTCTAATGTTTAAATGTATATCTTTCAGCCTGGTTATACAAATATACATTATTTTTAAATGATCAATTCTTTTCAGCCTTTCTATAGAAATTTTTTGGTATTTCTTAATAATCTATTTCAAATTAGTAATTTACATTTTTATATATATATTTTTTATTTTTTAAATATTCTTATAAAAAGAAATCTAAACATATCAAATTAGACGATCTTAGTGAAAATTCAATAAAACCATCTATGTATCCAATTATTGAAATACAAATTATATAACATCTAACAACTTGAAATCAGAAAATCATTATTAATAATTAATTATTAAAAAATTTCCATCAAAAAATGTGAAATAATTTTTATAGAAAGAATTAATAGATCATTGAGGAATAAGTTAAATCCAAACTGAAGGGCTAAATTATATTTGAACTTTAAGAAAGTATATGATGTTCAAAAAATAAAAATATTTCTGAATTAACAATTTTATGCCAATAAAAACCTTAAAATATTTTATTTGAAAATGTAAATGTTTCTAATGAATAGTGTGATAAAACTTATAATTCAATTTAAAAAAACAAAATTGTTCTCTATATATACAAGAAAAATTAATTACTTATATTAAATTGTATGCTCACTGAAATTATTAAACTTTTATTTGAAACATTTTTTTTGTATTATCAATAATATAGATAATTAAATAGTGTGATGGCCTGCTTTAGCTTTCAAAATATGCCTATATATAGACAATCATTTCATAATAACATCATATTTTTATCCAATTCAATTTATATCAACTAAAAAAAAACAATTTATTAAATTGTAGATCACTATTCAATAAATCGTTATTATTTAAATTAGTTAAAAACAAGATTATTTTAATTATTTCGATTATTTCGATTAATAATCATCGAATCGAAACTTAACACAAATCAAATTCAATCTAATCAATCAGTTCAATATACATTATAAAAAAATACTTTCATATATTGACAAAAATTTTAAATGTAAAAAAAATTATTTAAATATATTTCAAATTTAGTATTATCGACATGAAAATAGTTTTTTGACAAGTTCATTTTCTTGGAATTGATGTGATTATTTTTATTATTATAGAGTTTTATGGCCTGGTGGATCAACATATTTTAACCAAAGTAATGGATACGCAGATGCAGGCTATATGATTTATAAGTAATAAAAATATTTGTAAAAATATTTATTTCTTAAGATAAGACTGGAAATTTTTTACTTACATATTTAGAATATATAGAAAAAAATATATATATATATATAGAAAATATATAGAAAAAATATATATATAGAAAAAATTATAATATATTAAAAATCTATAACTATAATATATAACTATAACTATATATATATATATTTACTTATTGATTTGCAGTATTAAAAATTTTTTTAATATTTTTTACGATCATTTTTTCAGCATTGCGAAAAAAATGAATAAAAATGGTGATTATTTTCCACTTTTTGGAATATGTTTGGGATTTGAATTGTTAACATATGTTGCTGCTAATCGCGTTGAACACAGAACACATTGTAATAGTATGAAACAACCACTTCCATTAGAATTCACAAAAGGTTTATTATCTCTATATATTTTTAATAATAATTTTTTTTATGAAGAAAAACATATTTCTTTATATATTTTAGATTTTCGGAATAGTAGAATGTTTGGCAATACTTCATCTAATGTTATAGATATATTAAAAACTAAGAACGTGACAGGAAATTATCATCGATATTGTGTTACGAGAAAAGTAAGTTATATTTATCAGATAGTATTTTGAAATCTATAACCTTGATTCTTTCAGAATTTGGATGATGTTGGTATAAGAAAAAATTTTCGGATATTGTCTTTAAATAATGATCCGACTAAAATTCGATTTATTTCTTCATTAGAACATGTTACTTTACCTTTTTACGCTTTGCAATTTCATCCTGAGAAGAATTTGTATGAATGGATTAAAGGAAAAAGGATTCCGCACGGAAAAGATCCCACTATAATTGCACAATATTTTGCTGATTTCTTTGTTAACGAAGGTACAGATTTTTTAAATATTTTTACTTCTTATTCCTAAAATTAAGACGGAATTAATTTGAATTAAAATTATTCTTTGTACAGCACGTAAGAATAATCATAAATTTGATGATGAAGATGAAGAATCTCGGAATTTAATTTATAATTATCCAATAACTTATACTGGATTGAAAAAATCTACATTTCTTCAATGTTATTTATTCAAGAAAACCGATACAATATAATTTATCGATATTTTGTTATTTAATTTTATCTAATTTAAATTTCATTTTATAATTATAATTTAAAATTGAGATTTTCTTTCCATTTTTTCTAATTATATATAATAGAAAAATAATTATGATGATATATTTTTTAAATAAAAATGAACTCATTATAAAAAATATAGTTCGATTATTTTTATAAATAATATTCAATATATACATATTTATATATTGTCTACAATATTGATAATTATTTTATTTATTACGAATGCAGATTGTTATCAATATTTTGTGCGATATAATTTTTATTTTCTTAATCTTTATCTGGTTTGAATTGAATCTATTATAACTATATCTTTTTCTATAACTGAAATATATAATATAATAAAATATAATATAATAAAATAAAATTTTTTTACATATTTTATTTAATTTAAATTCTTTATTTCGTTATTTTAATTTGTTTTATTAAAAGTTTTCAAGTTTTATCAAAACATTCATAAATTTTTGAAGAAGAATCAAAGAATAATCTAACTAATTTTAAATAATAAAATTTTTTTGTTTCGTCTTTATTATCTTATGTTGAATTGCTTATATTTTCTATTATTTAATGTGTGTGTTTTTATCTGTTTGACTACGAAATGCGATATATCTTCGAATTCTAATAATAGCAAAATAAAAGCGAAATATTTAAATTAAAATAGCTAAATCAATAATTTTTAAACATAAATAGATTTATATTAATTTATAAAGAATGCCTAGAGAAATCAATTAATATATTATAAATGATTCTATTTAAGAAAATGAAATTGATTTTAAAATCTTTCTGCAAGACAAAATATCTCTTTTTGAATTGAATAATAAAATTTTTAATTTTTTGTTGAGAATTTCAACTTCTTTTTATTTCAACAAGATATTCTGCTATTTCACTTAAACTTTAACATCTTGTATATAATATTAATTATTATTTTATTTGTATATTTTACGTGTGTCAAAAGAAATGTTACATCTTTTAGAATTATAAAATATCGATTGATTGATTTTGAATTTATGAATCCTTGTTATCACAACATTATCGATTTATGCTAAAAATTTTATTCAAAATAAAATTAAAGCATGGGAAATTATTACATATAAGACAGAACACGTAATATTCACATTTAACATAACACCAGTGTATATTGTGTCACAACTGGGATACATAATATTACAATGGTGCATAATAAAATTCTATACATATTTCATTCTATCTAAAGTAAATCATATTTTGAATTTTTTCCTTCACCATCATACTTCACTTTGAATCAAAGCGTTTCCATTCAAATGATTTTTATCTCTGTCAAGAAATATAAGATCATTTAGATAGAAATTTTATTAAAAATTATACACAAAAATAATAAATCGTGTTTGTTAGTGAAAAAATAAAATAACATCTATTTCACTAATATATTTTATAAAGTTACTTTGATTCAAAGGGAACGATTGGATCTGATATTTGCTTGCTATTTTTAGAACAAGCACGAAACTAAATCTCTTAAAAGCATGAACCAACTCTTAATTTTATTCTTGTAACGTATAATTTTATCAATAATATAATAATAATAATAATAATAATATTATCAATAATAATAAGATAATAATAATTATTCATATAAACATTATTTCTATTTATTCCTTGTTAGACTTTTTAGCAAATTACAAGGAGCGATGCCACGAATAAATTATAGAGGAATTCTTTACATGTATTGTTGGAAAAATTACTTGTATCAAGTGTTTTCGCTACGGCATCATAGTTTTCTTTATCTCTTTTTCATATTCGTGTACAACATATATATACATAATGTATATACGCGTGAGCAATATATATTATACATATATATATTTGTTTTACCTCTCTAGATGTATCTTTGCACAATGCATACTTTATACGTTTCCTTTCTATTACCATTTTTCATTTTCTTTATATATTTCTTTTTCTTTTTCTACGAATATAATATGAAAATTTTACGCTCCATATGTGACATATATTTTGTGTGTCACTGATAAAGTGACCCTGTAATATTCATTAATTTTTCCCTCATTATTTTTTTCTTTCTTGTTTTTTTTTCTTTTTTTTTTTAAATAGTACGTAATATCTAACTGTTTGAATATACTTAGATATATTTATCATAATATATTAATCTAGATTTCTACGGAGTGATGAACGATATCGTTCATTTAACTCCATGTGACGCATGCACGCGCGTTAATAAATTTATCATCTTTTTCATGTCTATATTTCAGTAGTTGTTATCATTATAATATACATAATTAGGATAAGCTTGATAATGCAACAATCGTTAATATGCAATTATAAGATTTTTTTTTACTTGTTTTTTTGTTTTACATTTTAAAAATTTGGTGTTAAATGATCTTTCAAATATATACGATATATTCAGGTAACTTAAAGCATTAAACAACATTGTCGCAAAACCAAGCTTACGATATTTTTATCTTTTACCCTTAATATGTAAATATGAAATACATGGCCTTACAAGATCGCTAGAGACAATAATATTTTTCTTTTTCAAAGGTGAAACGTAAATGTCGTTAAACGTTTAAAATTAATTTAAAAAATCAAAATGATCAAAACTTGTCCCTATATTTATACATAAAAAAGTATTGAATTGCTATCGTCTGATTATTTATTTATTTTTTTCGTTTATTTTTTTTATTACTTAAGATCTGATGTATTAAAACTTGGTATTTGCTGCGGGTAAACGCTTTAGTGAAATTCGCAAAAATATATTGCACTTGATTACGATAATTATGATTAAACAAGAAGAGTTAAAAAAAAAAAGAAAACAATTGACTATAGCTAAAACGGACAATTGACACGATATTTTAATTCGATATCCGGATCCGTTTTAATAAAACAATCCATACTAATCAATCGTTTTTTTAAAGTGCTTCTTTTAAATATAATTTTTTTATTAAAGAAAACTACACGCCAAATAAGTAAACACAAATATCTAAATAAATCGAATAATATCAATTATTATAATATATATTGTTATCTTTTTCACGTTTACGTAGAATTCTTTTTACAGAAATAATAAAATGATATATTTATTATTATGATATTAGATTTTGTATAGAAATGTTTCTCTATTTCTAGAGACAAATATATAGAAAAAGCAAACTTATAATGCTTTTTGTTTAATTAAAAATAGAAAAAAAAAATCTTTTTCAGAATTATAATCTTAAAAATATCTATGATTAGAAATAAGAAATACCACTCCATATTTAACGAAATTAGCCAATTTTTGCTTTATGGAAGTAATAGTACAAAATGTATTTTAATGTAAAATGATTAATGATACTGAATAAAGTGGTGGATGTAAATATAATTTTATAACCATTCCCAATAACGATTTTTTATATAAGAAATTTTTTTATATAAATAAAAAAATTTTTATAAAATATACGAGATATTTAATTTAGACAGAAAATATAGGAAACTGCACATAATTTGAATCACAAATACACTTTGTACTCCAAGCAAACTACCCGATAAATCTTTTAAATTACGATTATACAATCTTTCAGAGGTATATCATATATTACATTATATCACGCTGAATTTTATTTTTTTTTAACTAGTAAATACATTAATTTCGTTACTTTTTCCTTTTTGTTTCTCTTCTTTACACGAAATTATTGTATAAAACTAATACAGCGTTATATCGTTACCGCAGTTAATTTTAATTATATTCGAATTAATAGCAAAGTTACGTGTGCCCATTATCGAATCGCAAAGACCCGAGCATCGATTCCAACGCAACGACATTCAATGCGTGGAATTCGATAACACATAATGAATATTTTTTTTCTTCATAAAAGATCTATTATATTTATTATACAGAAGAAAGGAAAAAAAAAAAAAAAAAGAAACAAAAACAAAAAAATTCAAACTTTGGATAATACACTGCTATTGTTCGTAGCAGCACGATTAACTCTTCAAAATTGATGAAGTTCATATAAATCTTTCTCTCGTTTTCTCTGTATTTAGCAACAGACGAGTATTGCGATAAAAATGTTTGAAACGTGAATAATGGGGTGCTATAGTCACGATTCATAACGATTTTTCTATCGCACAATAACACTTTATCAATCAACTCACTTTCGTGCCCGTAGAAACTGCAAGTTTCAATAGTCTTTTTCTTCTTCCGTTTTGGGAAAAGAACAGTCGAACAAGAAAAAGAAAAAGAAAGAAGAAGAAAAAAAAATAAACAGTCAAACGGTGCACTTTCATTAATCAACAAACACAGACATTCATCATGTATACACTCACTTTCTCTTCTTCTTATGAAAAATGCTTTTTTTTTGTTTTTTTCTTTACATGCTTGCTCTCTTGATTTGGTTTAATAGGAGGTCAATACACCTGGTGGAGTAGGCACAACCACAGTGTGTTGCGGCACTACAGGTGGTGCAGGGGGCGCCAAAGGATGGCCGACAAGAACTGCTGCTGCCGGAATTGGCAAAACACCGGACTGAGGAATTGCAGAAGAAGTACTAACTTGAGTTGGTGGCCCTTCCGCCGCGTGTTTTCTCAAATGTCTAAGCATATTGCCCTTTTCAACAAATGTTTTTCCGCAATCTGGACAACTATGCGGTCGTTCATCCGAATGCGATCGTCTGTGAGATACTAAATGCCCTTTGCACATAAAGTCTTTTGGACAAAGATCGCAACGGAACGGTCTCTCGGCATTACTGCCTTTATTGTGCGAGCGCATATGGAAAAGTAAATTACCCTTTAAGGGAAAACTTTTGCCACATTCTGTGCATACAAACGGACGTTCACCAGTATGACATCGCATATGATTTACGAGATGTTCCTATAACAAAAAATTTAAAACATTTTGATGAGATTGTGTAATATTTATCGTATTGTGACAATGAAATAGAGTGAAATTTAAAACTGCGTTTTCATTAAAAGAGAAATTTATTTCCAAATATTTCCAGAAAACAAATTTTTAAAAATATTATATTAAAGTAATATAATAAGCAACATTTGGATTTTATTTCGATTTCAAAATTGTATTTTTTGTCAGCAACAAGTTTAGACGCAAATCAAGTAATGAATGATAAATGAAAAAAACTTATTTTTTAGAGTTGTAGCATTTATCGATATCAAACATGAAATAAAGAACAAATAAAAAATATGGTTTCGAGTAAATCTAGATATTAGAAAATCGAAGACTTATGAATTGAATGAAGCATGATGTTTTATTAACGATGGACGACATCTTTAAAACATTGTACTCTTTAAATATTTATCATTCCTCAAATATTCGTATCTTCTATATTTTTTTTATTAATTATATAATTATATAACATAAAATATAAATAAAATATTTTACATTACTATTTTGAGCATTTTATTTATATGTATGTACATTAGAAATATGAAAATATATTTAAATGATATCAAGGAACATATATATATATATGATAATTATTTCATAATTTTTTCAAAAATCCGCTAAAAGATCACATTATAAATTTTTAAATTCTATATTTTTATAATTGACATAATAAAATTATAAAAAAAAATCTTTGTTGTTTCTGTGAGAATGCAATTTAATATTTTAATATTTAATTTATTCCGATATTTTTTTTATATTTTCAATAATAATAAATAATAATAATAATAAATAAATAATAATAAATAAGTATTAAAAAATAATAAATATATTACTTGAATAACAAATACAAATATAAATATACAGTGAAGTTTACTATATTAAAACGTAATTACATCTACACTTATCAAACAATTATTTGAAGTAAATATCCTCGAAGACAAAACTTTATATGAACAAATTTTATGTTTTTTATATATTTTTTTCAAATAGAATACTCTATATTTTATTCATCTAGAATAAATATACATATCGAAACCTACCTTTCTTGTAAATGGTTTCGAGCATACATTGCAACAGTGCGATGAATCTCCAGTATGTTGACGGAGATGATTATTTAGATGTTCTTTCCTGGTGAACGTTCTCTGACAGAATTCACACCTATGCGGTGATTCACCAGTATGGATTCGCACATGATTCGTCAAATGCTCCTTACGAGTAAATGACTTGGAGCAGAAGTGGCATCGATGTGGCGATTCGCCTGTGTGTTGACGCACGTGATTTGTCAAATGTTCCTTCCTCGTGAAGGATTTGGTGCAATACTGGCACTTGTGCGGTGACTCACCCGTGTGTTGCCTGACATGGTTCACCAGATGATCCTTCCGCGTAAATGCTTTCGGACAGTACTGACAGCGGAAGGGCGTCTCTCCTGCGTAACATTAAGCAACGATACCGCGACTTTTACTTTTCCAACCAATCATGATTAATTTTATAAATTCAATCAATTTTCCCCGATGCAACATATAGATAAAAATATTTTAGACATATATATTTAACAATAACATTAATCTCTGATTTTGATTTTTTAATATTGCAATATATAAATAACAAACTTTTAAATATGTTTTAAATTTTAAATCTTAAATAAAATTTGAAAAAAATGAAAGAATTTATATATATTTTTTTAAATCAAAATACGCATTGGATTATCTTTACTTCAATACATATATCTTTTTTTTTTCTTATATTATTATATTCATGTATATAATTATATGGATTTATTTCTATTATATAATTATATCTTTTAATAATCTTTTTTAATAACATTGTACAATTGTTTATTTAATAGATCAATATAATTTATATTAAAATCATAATGTTTATTTATCAAATGTTTACTTATCATTATATCTATTTTTCGATATATTGATCAATTGTATTTTGAATTTATAGAAATATATATAATATGTATTGAAGTATTAAAAAATCTGTTTATTATTCATTAAAGTGTACATGGATATTAAGATTATCAAAATATCAAATAAATATTAATATTCTCCAATTTTTATCTGAAATATTTTATTATATTCTTCGTTTCTATTTATATTGGAAAAGCTATAAATAAATAATTTGATTGAAGTTTAATTTATATAATCATCAATTTATCTTATTAAATATATATGCATTGATTATATACATTTAAAATATTTTTTAATATCATAAATTTCTAAAATTTATTTAAAATTTATTTTTTTATTTAATTAATATTTTTGAATTTTCCAAGAATTATAGATAAATATGAAAAATAAAAAATAAAAAAATTAAAAAAATTAATCTTTAGAAATAAATTTTTATTAATTTTGTTAATTAATTTTAATTATTTTTATAGTAATGTAAAATATAAATAAATGTAAAGTAAAATATACTAAATTAATATTTAATATTGTTTTTTCTATGCGTTGCATCGATGAAAAATTAAATTCGTATAACAGTATATTTAAGATGTTACAACTTTGAATGCTTAAAAAATAACAAGAAATAAGAAAGAATTATAAATCACTATTTTATAACATGATTATATATATTTTTTTATATTAAATTAAATCTTGTTAAGAATTTACTACCTACGAAATGAAATGAAAATGAAAATGGATCTATGCAATCTTAATATAAAAAAAAGAAACAAAAAAAGAAAAAAACAAAAAAAAAAACAAAAAAATAAAAACAATAAATCAAGTAATAAAAAACGTTTCTGCAACGTAAAGACATTATAAGAACGTTTTGTTTAGCAGAAGGTTCTGAAATAGTTAATAAAAAGCATGTATGAGAGCGGTGTATTAGGCAGAACAGTAAATGTCTCTCTAGGATTCGATGATGAAATAGGATAATCGTGATCGGTCAAAGCTAATTGCTAGTTAGACACAATGTGAATTGTTATGCACGAACGATGAACGCATTATTTCCCGATATATTATTATATATGATTCTATAATATATAATATATAAAAATTGAAAAACAAAAAGCAAAAAAGAAAAAAAGAAAAAAAAAAGAAAAAAAGATAGAAAAGAAATATGTACACGAACGGATGTCTATTTTATTCTCATGCAAATATGCAAATCATAGCTAAAAATCGAGAAGCGAAATCGAGTGACTCTATATGCGTGTATGTTTATGCGTTTGAAAGCAAAATGCATTTGAACGATTTTTTTTTTTCGATGCAATTAGGACATTAGACAATGGATTAATTTAGATTTAGACGAATACACGAACGAATTTTCGGTATAATGTGTTATATGATACGTTATTATATGAATATGGTGAATATGGTAAGTAACCTAAATTTCGTGTTTCTTAACTAAATATGATTTTTCTAATCACGTATAAAACTACTACTCTTAGAGACAAATATTACAATCGGTTGTCCGTGAAGTGGACATCTGCCAACCGCTCTCACCTGTGTGTTGGCGGATGTGGTTAACAAGGTGTTCCTTTCTGGTGAACGATTTGGAGCAGAAGCCGCATCGGTGTGGAGACTCACCCGTGTGCTGGCGAACGTGGTTTAAAAGATGCTCCTTTCGTGTGAATGTCTTCGAGCAGAAATCACAGCGGTGCGGCGTCTCACCCGTATGCCACATTATGTGGTTCGTGAAGTGCTCCTTTCTCGTAAACGACTTACCTGTATTCGCAGCGATAAAAGAACCAAAAAAAAAAGAAAAAAAGAAAAGAAAAAAAAAAAAAAAAAAAAAAAAAAAAAAAAAAAAAAAAAAAAAAAAAAAAAAAAACACCAATGTTTTGATTAAACTGTAATACGAAATCAGACTGTAATTAAACTTTTAAATATATAAATATATAACATGTACATACATATATGGGACGATTCCAAGATGATTAATTCTTTAGTATTATGACAAAATTCTATCGATCTAAACGATGAAAACGTTAGAGATAAACAAAAGAATCATGTTCTTCTCTATTTTATTTAATTTTATATAATCAAAAATTGTTACAATCGACTGTTGTTTCTGAATATTGCAGTTGGTGCTATCTTTGTATTTTACAATGTTTTACTGAAAAATATATAAAAAATATATATTATAAATTTAAATAAATGTGGGAAAATGAATTATGCGAAAATAAAACGAATACACATAAATTTGAGCGAATGAAAGTATAAAATAATCAATGTGAGCAAATGATAGATAAAAATAGATAATGAATGGAGTATGTGTAATTTATATAATTAAATTGAATATATAATAATTTCTTAGAAATAGGATTTGTAAATCACAACATTATAAAATTAAAAATTGTTTGCAATTAAAATTCAAAGAGTATATAACGAAACGTGAACAAAAAAGCACATATCGTGAAAAATCTTTATTATTTATCTATATATTTATTATGTATATTTTATTTCGAAAAAAGGAATTTCAGAAGAGTGTAAAATGTTCAATTTTTATTTAAAATAACTGACTTATGGACGATATTTTTAAAATTTAACATATGTTTTATCCAATAATAATTTCACAAAGATTAATGGATTGAAAAAGAAATGAACTTTGAAGGATTACACGAATGATTATATACAATCAATCATCAAGTGCAAAAAAAATGGAAAAAATGATGGAGTTTCTATTATAAAGTGTGATGAATATTAAATTAAGTATTATACTATTTTTATAATTTTCTATAATATCTCAAGATTATAAATTATGAAGTAGTTACGAAACCATAAATACATTAATTACAATAAAAAATCAATAAATTGTTGAAAATCATTGAATATTGAATAATTTTTAAATATTATTTTATAATTATATGAAATGAATAAATAATTTTTATTATTTAATTTTTGAAATTAAAAGATTAAAAAGAATACTTTAATATTAAATTAAATTTGCACAAAGATAATGCCAAAGATATTTATAAATAATACTTATAATATGCTTTTATATTGTAACATGTTATTTTTTTAAGAATTAAAAACTTTCTTTTTGTAATTTAATATTATGTATAATTGTAATTAAAAATAAAATATAGAATAATATATATTAACAATATAGACTTATATATATATTTTTTTATATTATATTATATATTTATATTATAAACATATATATGTTATATTTTTGATATTTTTAATAAATATAAAATAAAATGATTATATATAATATATGGGACACAGAAAATTTATTATTTCCACATATTAAAAATATCTTTAATAAATTGAATATGCAAAATATCGATCGTTCGAAATTTAAAAATACATTTATAATAAAAATCTTAATAATACAATAAATTGAACTATTAAATTATGATATATTAGATAAAAAAAAAAAGTGAAAAATTATTCTTTGTTAATTTTTGAATTCTGACATAATTCATTATCAGGGATAATAACTAATTTTCAGAAATCAGCATTTTAACGTTTTAAATAGTTATATTTAACAAATATTTGTTTAATTTTTGTAAATCAAATTATGATGTTATAATAATAAAATTCTGGATTTGATTTCAAAAAATTATATGAAACTATAATAATATATAATATTCAAATTCTCGAAGAAAATCTTAATATATTTAAATTTGAATATGTGAATTGAATTAATATGTTTAAATTACTATTTATTAAATTAATTGATTAAATAAAATTGATAAAAATTATGATCGAAAATAAAGAAAAGTTTGAAAAGTTTGAAAAGAAATTCAAGAAAATAAAATTGTATCTTGTTGACGAATAAACTTGTTTGCAATACCAACCGTTTAGATTTACGAAATAAATGATGACATCGAAGTATGTGGTAAAGTATAGATATATACTTGGCAGTAAATAATCCGTCACTAATAGTAACGAATACTAAAAAAAATAATATAAGTCAATCAAAACATGCTGATAATTCGAAGGTCGTTAAAAAGTCATTTTTGTAAAAGAATACGCGACCTATGACAAGAGATAGATAAATAGATAGATGCGCAATCATTTTTTCGATTTTTTTTTCAATTTTTTTATATTTTTATATTTAATTGCAAAACAAATTAAAAAATTAAATTAATAATAAATATTCAATAACATTTTCAATATTATTATATACAATATTTATCAACATTAATTTATACGATATTATACTGCTTATGATATAAAATATTTGTATTATTTAAATTTGTAAATATATAAACAATTTTTTGTCATAATAATGACATTTATTTGTAAAATAGAATTTTATATAATAACACAAATTTAAACAAATTTGTGTTATATTTTCAAAATATTAATAAATACTATAATAAATACCTTATGATAAAGAAATACTTGCTTATAAAATTTATGAAAAAAATATGAATTTTATAATTTATTTTTTTATTTGATAACTATATTTAAATATTTTGATGCGATTAAAAGAATTTTTTTATATAATATTTTTAACATAATATTTTTCTCTTTAAAATCTATTATATAAATAAATATCAAAAAATTTATTAATATATTTACAAATTCATTAATTATTGATATAATTATTGATTCATATTTTCTTATATTATAATAAACAATGAGATATTTAAATGATTTTTTGCCATAAAAAATAACAAATTTAGAGGTAATAAGATAATATCTGAATATTAATGTAAATAATTGCATGTAAGAATGTTAAAACAAAAATGTTAAAACAAACAAGGAGAGTGATTTTATATGATGAAAAATCTCGAAAAAAGATTTAATATTTTTTTTATTGCTTTTTCAAAAAAGTAAGTTTGAAAATTTATTAAATGTAAGAAAAAAATAAAAATTCTTAATTAAATATAAGAGAATTATTAATTGATTAATTATTTTATATCGTAAATAAATAATAAATGCAAAATAGAAAAAATTTTATTCAAATTCTTTTCAAAAAAATTGAAATTAAATGTTAGTCAATTCTTACATGTAAAATACTATTTTTTAAATATGTTTATTTTTGAACTTTTAAATTTAATTTCCTCAACAACCAATCTTGAAAATCTTTGAAATTTTATTTCAAATATTATATTTATATATAGAATAAACGTTTACTAATCAAATTATATGTATTCAGAATTAAATTTAAGTTAAATTCACGATTAATTAATTTGAAAAATTTTCAAATACAATTTACTCGAAACAAAGTTTTAAATGAAAAAATATTATTCTTTATTATTTTATTTTTAAATGTAGAACCATCTATCTGTCCAATTATATTTTATGAATTATAAATATGTGCATTTTTATTTATGAATTAATACAATGTTACACTACATTAAAAACATAGATAGAAATCTAAATATATATATATATATATTTTAAAGAATATAGGATTTTAAAGAATATTTCTTTATTATTTCTTTCTTTAATATACTTTAATATAGTATTTTTTTACTATTTATTTTTGAATATTCTTACCATTTATTTTTAAATATTCTTAAAAAATCTAACAAATCAAATGCATAAGAAATATAATTAATTTTAAATGAAAAACATAAAAAAAGATATATAAATATTTCAGTTATTAAAATATTTTATATATTATTTTATTAAAATAATATTTCTTTAATATCTATATTCACATAGTAATAAAAGTTTATTCTAATAATTCTTTGAATATTAAAATATTAATTATCAATCAATATTTGAAGTCAGAACTTACCTTAATTATAATAAATACTATATTAAAGAAATAAAATTAAAAATTATGTTTTCATGCATATTATAAACTCATTCCATGTGATATATCATAATGTGTGACAGATGTTTTTGAAGCAAAAATAAAATTTAACTAATAATATTATATTCTATATAATTCTTTATCATTAATTTTAAAAATGTTTTGGAATCGCCCCATTAATTATTGTTTTGATTAATAAAAAAAAAAAAAAAAAGTTATATAATTATATTATATAATGATAATATTGATCAATTTAATATTATCATTTTATATATAGCTTGTTTTTTTTAATAACTATTTTTAATTAGTAAATTTTTACAATGAATAAATTAAATTTTTTTGAATATTTTTGGATATCTATTAAGTAATAGTAAAAATAGTTCTAGAAAAATTTTTATAATAAGAGTATAATTCAATTTTTATAATAAGAGTATAATTTTACAAAAATTTTCTAATTATAATCATTTATACATAATATATTATATATTTTATATATTTTATAATTTTGAGAAGATTTTGATATATATTATATATTTGATATATATCACATTAAAATGAATATTCGAATTTTAAATTTTGTTCTGTATTAAATTTCTTTTTATAAAATAAAGCTACATATTGGATAACCTATATTTTTAATTATAATATTTATTTATTGAAAAATTGCTAAAAAAAATTATTGAATTTCATTGTGCAAATACATAATATTTATCTTTTTTCATATCATTATGAAAATTTCAAGATCACTTTATTAAAAGATTTTAAGTTTTGATTAAGTTAAACAAAATTCATATAAAAATTCAATACATTAACAAGTTTTAGATTATATCATATATTAAAGATTTTATATAAATTTTTATTTTTTATTTTCATAGAATAATATTATCATTTTTTGACATTAATATATGGTAAAATAAAGAATTAAAATTTTATCAAAAATGCTAAAAATAAAAATTACATTATTATTAATGATTAATATTTTAAATAAATTTGATATATAATATAAAATTGATATATAATATAAAATAATGAAAATGATCTTGAAATTTAAAAAAATAATATGTTGTCAAAATTATAAAAATACTGATCAATGACTTTTTATGCATAACATATAAAATACTCATTGAAATATAACTTATAATATACAAGAAATTGTATGTAAATAGTGTATTATGTATATATGTATATGCATATATATGATGCATATGATATATGTATATGTATATTTTAAATTATTGGAAAAATAAATTACTTACCGCAAATTTCACAGCGAAATGGTGTGTCATTGGTATGTGAACGCATATGATTTGCGAGATGTTCTTTACGTGTATATTTCTTGCCACAAGCTTGACAATGATGAGGAGTTTCTCCCGTATGCCACATAACATGATTCATAAAATGTTCTTTGCGAGTAAAACTTTTTTTACAAATATCACATCGATGAGGAGTTTCACCCGTATGTTTACGAACATGATTTACCATATGTTCTTTTCTAGTAAATGTTTTTGAACAATATTGACACCTATAAAGTATAAAATAATAACATTATATAGATATAAAATAATTTCAATTTTATTTCTATTTAAATAAATAATTAAAAATTGTGCTTGCATGCATTCATATTCATAATTCAATTCTAGAGACTAAACATTGCAAAAAGTTGATTAAAAAATACTGATTAAGATTTATTAAATTATAAGTAATTAAAGTTTGCATTAAATGAAATAAAATAGAATAAAATAGATCTATTTTTATCATATTGCTATTCCGCTCATTTGTTTTGCTTCATTTAACATAAATTTAAATTATAATTTAATAAATAATAAGCTTTAATTAATAATAAATAATTTAATAATAAATAAGCTTCAAATTTTTATGTTTGTTTCAATCTCTGAAATCAATTCTCTAAATGTTTCTCACATATATTATTAATGATATTAACATATTATATATTATTAATATTAGAAATTATAATACTAATATTTAAAATTAAAAACTAAATGATAAATTATTTATTTAATTAAAATCTAAATTAAAATTAAATTTAAATCAAAAATTCGAAATGTTAAAATAACAAAAATATTTTAAATTTATTTTTTATAATTATTTTTATTAATTTATATGAATTTCAATAAAATAAAATAAATTTACCTGTAAGGTGTTTCTCCAGTATGACAACGTGTATGATTATCTAAATGTTCTTTTCTTGCAAAACTTTTTCCACATACGGTACAATTATAGGGTTTATCTGTAGCATGTCGTTTCATATGACGTTCCAAAGATGGTGCATTTGCAAACACATGAAAACAAACTGTACAAGTAAACATAGATCCACCTAAGTGACATTTTCCATGTCGTGTTAAATCATTTGCATTTAAAAAGGCCTTCCCACACACCTAAAAATTTCAAAGAATTTTAAATTGTCTCTATTAAATAAAACAAAATAAACTAAAAATTTTTATTACATACCTGACAAGTAAAAGGTTTCCTTTCTGTATGGTATCGACGATGAACAATAAGTTGATAGCGAAACTGAAAAATTTTTCCACATATTTCACATGCATGACTTCCAACTGATACAGGCGAAGCGCTTGGTCCTGGTGTAGCTTCACCATCACTTGATTTAATATCGAACTTATTTAACTGAACTTGTTGCACAATTGGAGTTCCATTTTGTATAGTGGTAACTGTTTGGGTAGGAACTGTACTTCCAACTAAGGTTGTACCGGCTGCTATTTCACTTTGTAATTTTCCAAATACTTCATGATATGCTAAAAGTTGATTAATATCCTCGACATTTACCTGTAGAAAATAATAAAAATTGTGCAATTGTATATAAGATATATTCTATATTTTACAACATATTATTTCTCACCTTATACATATTTTGCACCATTTCAACACCAAGCGTTTTTGCTAAATCTTGTTCATTTCCAGCACTAATTTTTACAACTGAACCATCAGCTGTTCTTACATCCATCATATGACCTCCTGGTTTTAAATCTGGTACTTGGAATCTACATAAAAATTATAATATTGTTTATCAAGCTACAAAAATTATTGAAATTAATATATATGTAAATTATATGAACATACTGCGTCATATTTAATTGACGTAGCTCTTTTTCTTTCTCAGGTTTTTCTGTATTATTTTGACTTCCACCTTCACTTGATGAATTTCCACTTATATTCACACCAATTTGTTGCTGTTGCTGCTGCTGTTGTTGCATAAGGCTTTGTTGCAAATCTTGAGATGTTTGTAATTGGAGATCACATTGAACTTGACAGTGAACTTGATTGTCACTGCAACGTTCAGTAGTGCAACTTCCACCTTCATCTTTCACTTTATTATCATCTCTCTGTGCGTTTTGATTATGTGCAGTTGGTCCACTATTCTGAGCATTTTGATGATTTTGTATTTGATGATGAGATTGCTGTTGCTGCTGTTGTTGTTGTTGTTGTTGTTGTTGAGGTTGTTGCTGCTGATGCAGCTGTTGTTGTTGGGCTGCCTGCATTTGTTGTTGCATTTGTGCATGAGCTGCCTGTAAATGACTGACACTGGCAGGTATATGTGCTCCGTCTAAATTAAGGCCTGGTAGAGAAACTGGTATCTGCTAAATAAAATACAAATAAAAAATATTATCATATTCTTTCTTGATACAAATAAATTATAAATTATAAGTAAACAATTAGATAAGTTTAAAATATCATCAAATTAATAATAAAATATAATTTTTATTTATATTCTTTTCATTTTATAAATTATTATAAATTAGATAATAAATGTAATAGTTGAAAATAGTATCTGTGTGTGTGTGTGTGTGTGTGCGCGCGCGCGCGTGCGCATACATATTTATTATAACAATTGGCATATAATTATACATGAAATATTAAAAAGAAAAAATAATATAAAAAAAACTATAATGTAAAAGCAATATTTTAAATTATAAATGTGCAAGCATTCCATGTGTATGTATATTACAAGCAATTTTATTTTCTACTCACACTTATAGTATTATAATATATCACAGTATATTACCATACTTCTACAAATGCGGATACTAAACCTGGATCATTTATAAGCTACACTCAATAACTAGTCATCACATATCTCTAAGAAAACAAACCTGTGGATTTGGTTGTAAAGAACTATGATGACTGCTACTGCTAACTGAAGGCTGATGATGATGATGTGTAGGTGTTGACTGATGATGCGAATTGGAAGTCAACGCCATTTCTTGATTCAATGAAGAGGTTGATTCTTTGGAAGATGCCTCTCCACTTCCACTACTCCTATGTGAGGAGTTGTGGTGGGAATGATGATAGACTGAGACCTGAGGTAGCGGTCCAGGAAAGAGATTGGTGAGGACCCAATATTTAGCTACCGAGGAGGCTAACGCTACAGCTGTACCTACACGCAGGTCCGCGGATGAATGCGGGGTACTCCCTACATTGCCAAGATTGGTTGCTGTAGCCAAACCACCTGGGTATGAAGGACGACCACTTTGACCCGCGTTTACATCCTACCGATATACATTCAAACATTTGTACAACATTGATAGAGCATGCAATAGCATGCACCAGGCTTAAATCCAATCGACAAATGCGCTAATTTCCAAATTTATTTTCAGCATTACAAAAACTACAAATTAAATTTTATTAAATTCGTGCAACCATAGCCAATATTTTTCATTCTTATAAATAAAATTTATATTTTAACAAAAATTAAAATACAATTATATCTAAATCTAAATTACAAAATAAACATTTTAAATATTAAAAGTTTATATACTTTTATATCTAACATTATAGCACAATGTATATAAATATTATAAATACATCATACTATTTATAGAGATTTAATATAAAAAATATTTCTTTAATATAAAAAAATATGCTTTATAAATATTTATATTGCAAAAAAAAACAAGCTGATAAATATAAAATATTCAAGCAAAAGCTACTTCATTTACAAATTTACTACAAGCAATTAAGTTCAGAAAGAAAATATCACAAATTTTATATAATATTTTATTATCTACATATAATTCTGATTTTTAGTGCCAAACACAAATAATCATACATTATATAAAACTGCACAAAAAAAAATAAGCAGACATAAATAAAAATTATAAACAAAAGTAGTAACAAATATTATAAAAAGAATTAATGCATTAGAATAAAAAGTATCGTATGTATATATGCATATATATATATGTATATGCATATATACATACAATACTTTATATATATATATATATATATATATATATATATACATAATTGTTAAAAGATTTATAAATTTATAAATTATAAATTTAAAATTTATAAATTAAACATTTATAAATTTTATAAATAAGAGAAAAATTTATAAGAATTTTTTAATGAATATTCAAATTTACTTCATAGTATTTTTAAACTATAACTGTTTAACATATTAGTTGCGCATTTGTGGTTTGGTAAATAGCCTGTATTGAAAATATTCTTACCTCTTGTTGTGCCTGCGTAGTCGCTGGCAATGCATGCTGCTCACTATTCATTTTTATTCACTGAAGGATGCTAATTAAATGTTTTTGATATATTTCATTTTTCATCCTGTAAAATAATTTAATCAAAATTATTTTTTACAAATATTTAAATAAAATCTAATAATATATAATCATTATTTATGAAATAAAAATTATTGAAATTAATATTATTATAGAAGAAAATATAATATATAATTATATATATTTATATATAGTAAAATAACTATATTGCTCTTTGCGTTGGAATTGTCTAGTAAAATAAATCTTGTGATTTAACCTCGAAATCAATTGGTTTAATACCAATAAACGAAATAACTCTTTCTGAATACAATGAACTCAAAACATCATTGGGCGGATACTTATCATTATATAATGCTCATGTGTTAGGTTAATATAGTAAAGAAAGTATCGATATTTTAAAGAAAAAAGAAAGTAATTAATTTAACCTCATAGATATTTAAGAGTTTTTTGTCGAGTGAGCGGGAAAGGGTGAGTCATCCGATACTATCTTTTGAAGGCAGCAAAGATTGATAATGAAATATTAATATGTTAGAGTACCAGCAGCTTGAATGAATACGCAGTTGTGCTTCCACATTTGCCAGGATTCGCCGTATATCCTCTCGTATTTAAGAGAGGGTTCACGGACACCATCTTCTGGTGTCTCAAGCATATGACGCGTCAATTATCGTGACTCGTAGAACGAGGACAAGAGACTACAAGATGGAGGTTCCTCGGGATTCGGGGTAAGGGGATTTACAGAAACTATTCAAGAGGGCCGAAGTGGTAATCAAGAGAGCTCGGAAAGTGAACTCACGTGGTGTACGGTGCCGTCGGCGGTTCTGGCATCTCGCTTCGTCGGCCCTAGGCCGTCTCGTATACAGGGAGACGCGCGTCCCGACGCAGGGGGGGACGCCTTTCGCCACCTCTCGACGTCTCACCTCGCCACGGGTACCCACAAGCAAATCTCTGATAATGGCCACGCGCCCTCGCCCTCCACTTCCAGAATATATTCCAAGCAAAATTTGGCAAATTCAGTAAACGGGCTTGCCAATTTTGATCCAAATAGATGTCAAACTGGGCAAGAATTTCACGAAAACGTTGGCAAGAGCATACGTGCTCGCAGTTAACAGAAAATACGACTGTCATGGCGTCCTTCGCCCACCCCGCAGGAACTTACGCGTTTAGGGTATCATTTGGTCAACCATCTTTTGATCGATTTCTATTTAAAAATCATTCTATAAATAAACTTGCTACGATGGAAAACAAATTTCTATTAAAATTATATGGAAATAAACTATCTAATTCGTAATATAGCAAAATGAAATTTGTCAAGTGCTCTTTGTTAATTCATTCAGCATGCGCGCGCAGCATCCGAGTGCGCGCGCCGTTTGATCACTTCCTGTATCAAAAACCGCCAAATTAGAAATTCAATAAAATCTAAAATAGTATGAATATAATTTGTTATTAAATATTAATCAATTATATATTTAAGATATTTATTGTTTTTGTTCTTCTTTTATAATTTTTCTTTTCTTACGATTATATATCTTCTTATAAAATATATTACTTATATAATATTTTTTATAACGAAAGAGAAATTCAATATTCAATATTATCAAACTAATAAAAATAGATAAAAACTGTTTAATTAATTTTATAATTTATAATTAAAATATGATTCTTTTTAAACAATGATTTTCAATAAAAACATTAAATTTTTATAAAAAACAAAAAATATAAAATTTATATATTATATTATAGAATTTTATATAATAAAAGAGATTTTAAAATTGTAAACAGTACAAAACAATAATATTATTAAAAAAAGTAAATTTATTATTATTTTATAATTTATTATTATTATTATATAATTTATCTGGTACAGAAAAGGATTAAAAATATAAAAAAAAAAAACTTTAATTATGTTATGAATATATATATTATATTTATAATTCTCTTTCAGTTATTAATAATATTTACATACAATTGACCATTTACATACATTTTACATACAATTGACCATTTTGGTCCTTTATGTAACATACAAGTGTTGTAATAATAATCAGTATATACTGATAATATTTTATTATAATATTTTATATAATAATGATATGTTGGTATATGAACAAAAAATATTTATAATAAAGATTTAAAATTGTTTTTAATTTTGTTCTTAATTAAAACTATGTTTTGAAATGAATTTATTTCAAACATTAATGATCAAAGAATGTAATTTTGTGGCACAATTTTATAAAAGAAAATATTGACTAGTAATTATATAATAATTATTAAACATTCGTAATATAAAAATTAAATAAAGAATATTATCTAAATCAAAACGCTTATAATTATTTGGTATCATTATAAATTCGTTCTATCGAAAAATTCGTACGTACATAATACATACATTACATATACGTATTCATACATATATACATACATCATATATATATATATATATAGATTTTTTTTAAAAATTATATACAGAATAATTTTGTTTAAACTAAAAGAAATAAAAAAATATAATTTAAAAAATTTTGAATTTTAAATTATGTTGTATACTCTTTAATTATAGAATCAAAACATGATATTGACATATTATATCGTTATATCTCATATCTGCTATGTTAACTTAAAACTTAAATGTAAACTAATAAATTAAAATGTATTTTTCTTTTAATGTTGTTCGATTAGTTAGTCAAAATGAATTGATAAAATCAATATGTTTTTTTTATCTAATATTTAAATAATATGCATTAAAAATATAATTTTCAAATTTTTATTTTTAAAAATTGAGCTTTGGTCTCATAAATATAATAAAAAATTTTTTTATTTTTTTTAATATAAAAAATATTTCAACTTATTTCATGATTATAAAACATTCTATATGTATTTGAACATTTAAAAAACAATATATTGAATAATAATATATTTGTTTAAAATTTCATTTTATGAAAATGATTGAAAATATATTAAATACAAATAAATTAATTCAATAATATGAAGATATATAATATTTTTTTTTTAATAATTTCAAATATTATAGTTTTAAAATCAATGAAAAAATATGAAATATGTCTTTTTAGTATAGAAAATGTATCTTTATGAGCAAATATTATAAAAAAATATATAAATTATGTATATTATTATATATTATTTACAGTTCTGTGGTAATTTCATCTTGTGGTCGGAAACCAAGAATTGTAAAGTCATCAATGAGGTATTCACGAGCAGGTGACCAATCTGATAAAATAGTATAATTAGCAGCCTCTGTACTACTTTGAAATTCCCATTGAGGATTTAATTCGCGATCAAGTCCATTTGCCTCGCATTCATCTATTGTACAATTAGATTCTGTTAATGCAGCAGTATTATAACTATGATTAAAAGTTGAAATAGCAAGTTCTTGAAAATGTGTATTTGGAGGTTTCAGTTTTTGGTTATCATATACTAATGGAGTTGTTTGACCTATGCTAGATCCATTTGGACTAAGTTTCTCATTATAAACTCCAGAACTATTCTGTCCAAGACTGGAACTCACAGGACTGTCTTTTACATATCCAAGACTGGAACTAGCAGGACTAATACTTGATTTGTCACTTGCTTGAAATGTTGTAAGTGGTACATTTGGTTGGAATGTAGTCAGATTAGTTGGAGTGGTTCTTGGTTCATAAGATTGAAGTGATTGTGTGATTGTTATTTGCTGTGGTAAATTCATTTGGACAGATACTATTGGTTGTTGCAAGAATGTTACAAGTTGAGCCACCTTGAAATATAAAATATTATCTTTTAAAATTCATAATATATAAATTTGATTATGTCATTTTATTTAAAAAATAATCTTTTTTTATACATATCTAATTATTTTTTTAACATGCATGACTCACCAAAATGTTTTAGAGACTTGCATGAAAAAAAATTTAAAGTAATAAGCATTTTAAAATTATAATATTTTTAAAATTAATTTTTATGAAATTAATTATCTTACTTCAGGAGAACTATGCCTTTTATATCGCCTTAATAATCTTTCTGCCCATGAAAAAAGTCTTTGCCAATCATCTGGAGGAACTGGTATTTCATCATCTCTTCTATTAATAAGAACTAATATCCTTGCCAAATCACGTAGAACTGGTCTGTAAATTATAATCATAATAAAAAAGAATATATCAGTCAATTTATATTAATTATATAATTATACCTATATGCTTGTATTCCAACAGCACCATCTCCATTATTTCCAGAATAATATAATTCTCTAACTTGTTTTCTAGTATCATTGAGCATGGAAAGAAATGTATTGCCTTCTCCTCTCAACATTGCCAAATGTTTTAAAAATTCTCTTCTCTCTGCACTAAAATATGATTGAAATAGAACTTTTAATATTTTTATTTTTAATTATATTTTTTACATATATATAAAATACCTGTCTTCAAACTGTTTGATTAATTTAGTAGCTTTTTTTTTTCTTCTATGTACAATTATAGCTCCACATAATATTATCAGAATACATATAGTTGCACCAGAAACAATTCCTACCAAAATAGCTACTTGACTACCAGTAAATCCAAACATATATCCTGTTTCTTTACAAATTTTTCCCATGTATTCATCTCTAGTTGACCAATCTGCAATATGGCCTGGTGGGCAAATATCAACACAAGTACCTTGATGTAAAAGAACTGCACATCTTGCACATGTTCCATCTCTACATCTTTTGCAACCACTTTGTCCTTCAATACATTCTGAAAACATAAAAATACATTCTCATAAAATAATAAATATTTAAAAGTACATAATTCAAAGAAATATAATAAATTTTTTAATTATTCTTAATCAAACTTTATAATAAAAAATATTATTAATTTCGAAAACTTGTAAGAAACATTTTATAGAATTTATTTGTAATATTTAAATTTTTGATAATAAATTTATTTTAATAATCATTTTATTTTTCTATAAGAAATTCTCTGATATTTTATGAATCATTATAAGAAAGAGAAAAACGTGTAAATTGAATTTTTATCTCGATCCATAGCTTGAAATGCTTTAAATTTGTTTTAAATTTGACATATATATTGTATAAGATTTAATTTTTATATATATGGAATATTAATATAAAATAATATTTTATTATGGTATCTTAATTAAAAAGAAAATGAAAAAGTTTTTATATATAATGTATATATATATTCTTAATATATGTATACATATAATGTAATATGTAATTTACATATATATAATTTTTTTCATAATATAATTTTTAAGTTATTATTATTAGTATAAATTTTTTTTTCTAAAATCATTACAATTTATAGATCTATTCTTATATAGATCTTAAATATATGATATTATAATTATATAAATAAATTATAATTTCTTTATCTAAAAATTTTATGAAATACAATTAATTTTCAATGGATTTAATTTCTCTCTCTCTCTCTCAAAAAATACTTTTAAAGCATAAAATGTATTTTAAAATTTTTAGTAATTTTTATTTGCATTTCATAAAACATTTTATGATGTTATGAAATTTGGACAAATTTTTTTTATAACATATTTATTTTTTGTATATTATTTTATTTTTTATTATATAATATATTATATAATAATATATAATATATAATATTATATTAATAATATATATTATATTATATATTAATTATTATATTATTATAATATTATTATATATTAATATATTTTAGATTTAAAATATCATAAAATACTTTTAAAATACAAAAAGTTTTTATCTTTTTTTTTAATTATTATTTTTAATTATCTTTTCATTAAAAT